CACGACTTGGTGTTCGTTCTACGGAGTCACTCGTTATATTATATTTTATCCATACAACGATGTTGGGCCCGATGATGGTCATTAATTTTTTAATACGTAACGTGTACGTAACAAATTAATATTTGATTATATCATATATAATAATCAATATCAACATAAAAAAAGTAATATCATTTTAATATTGTGAAATTATAAGATCATGTTGTACAAAGTTAACGCGTTCGATATTGTTGAAGGCACGAGAACAGTTTTACTTGATTAAATGTATGTTAAGAAGTGTGCTTATTTGAAGTATACTTTGTTGGTATTTTTCAGGCTTGTTTTAAAATTATTCCTACTCACCTTAGTCCAGAATAATAGCAATTTATCTTTATCTTGTCTTGAATGCTCATTTTAGGAAAAAAATATGTATTTATAATATTTAATTTAATAAACGATATAAGTGTGTTCTGTACAAAATTAGTTTACATGAGCCCGACTCGTCCTTATTTATTTCATTGCTTATATTATTAAAAATACAATATTGAAAATAACATGATAACAGTAAAAAGATTTCTCTTTTTAATAAATTATTATATGGATGTTCCGGTTTTATTAATTTGTGTGTTAATATACTTTCACGAGTATCAAAATAGGTTGAAACACAACATTTTCCTATGGATTTTATATATATATATATTTTTTTTTGTTGATTTGGGCTTTGTGAATATGAATATCCTAGACATGATTTATGGGTGCTTCGGTTACTACTTGCGTCGGACGGCCAGGAGAGAGCCGGGAGAAGGCTGCCATGAGTGCGGCGCGGCGGTGGATTGGACTCAGTACACCATCGAGGTATGCCCGAGATGGGCTGCGCAGCGCCAAGACCTCGTGGCGGCTCTCGGCGGAGTGGACCTGTCGCTTTCGAGTATCGCGGAGAAGATGCTCGAGAGTGTCAGGACCGGGCTGGCGGTGTTCTCCTTCTGTGAGACAGTCATGGCCACGAAGGAGGCATCTGATCGGGAAAGGGAGTTTGCGGCTGATGTACCCTCCCTCCACAGACGACGTACGGGGGTGCGACGGAGGCGATTCCAACGCCTCCAATAGCACCCCTGTGCACCGGGCTGGGGTCGGCTTGGTAACCCGGCTCCAGTGAAAGCCCGGCGTCGTCGGGGTAATCCTAATCGCCGGCCCTTCCTTTTTAATCTGATAAGAAGTTAAACCATATTTTTTTATTATTTTTCATTAATCAACTATTGCACAGCTTGTTAAGATGACTGTTATATGAATCAAAAGATTTTTAATTTTTCACCTATATTAATGTGTAAATACAAACATACAACAAAGTTTCCATATTTATTATAAACAGTTCTATAATACAATTGTTTTTCAAACAAATAGACGAGGAAACAAAGCACAACAATATATGTATTGGAATTCTTACTCTTATACAAACAGATAAAACTATAAGAGTTGATCCGGTTTCAGTACTCGTTATATTTGTATCAAGAATATAAAATGATCTGCTTTTAATCTATTAATAAAATTTGTTTGTACTGTTAACACATTCATGTATTATTTATATTTCATACAAAATTAAAATATTGTGTTAACAATAAGCTCAAACTCCATTCCATTCAAAGTTATAACAATGACTACCCTATTTAGGTAATTTATATAATTTTTCGATGGCTTCTTTTTAAATACGAGTCCATTATTATGTTATATTTGTATGGAAGTTCAATAAAATTTTACTTTTATCATAAGTTATGAGAGCTGCGGGAATACCCAAGACACTACAGGTGATTTAATATTGAAGAACACTCTTCTGTCTGAAAATAACAAATTAATTTCTACTTGATACATTGCATACACGGTAATGAAGAATAATGATAAATATATTATGTGATTTTTAGATCTAATTAAAAAAACAATTGGAAGCATCATCATATGGTATATTTTTTATTTCTTCCAGTTAAAACTAGCCTACTGTTTTATTTTGAATAGTCTTTAACACTGGCGTTTTAATGCATCTTTTACTAGAATTTGGTTATGAAAACTGAAGTTTAATTTGAAAATTTTTACTTGAATTTCAATACTTTTCAATACTTTTCCCTCTGTTATATTTTGTTCCGTACCTCACCCACGACCGAGAGTCCGACACGATGTTAATCATACACTTAGTCAGCTTGAATTCAAATACCTGTTCAGACTCATCTTCTATATCTCATCATCATACAACATACCGAAACATCGCGAATCAACTTTTAGTGATGGGTAGTAACTATGGTGGCGCCTGTGTTATGACCTCCTACCAAGAAAAAACTGTTTGTTGAAAGTGGGAAAGTATTAAAGCTCAGTATATAGTGGGAAGAAACTAACTATGTATCGTTTTGATTATACGAAATAATAATAATAATTTTTAACTTAATAGTAATTTATTTTAGTCTGGAATATAAATTTCTATGTTTTCAAATTAAGGTTCGTTTTAACCTATCTTAAGCGTGTTATTACATATAAATAGTAATATTATACAAGACCCTTAATTAGTAGAATTATTATTAGTGTTATAGCAAATACTTGTTGAATGTGAAACATAATCTGGAGATAGTTATCTTAATAATTAATTTATTGAAAATATATCATGTTGTTTTCGTCCTTATTAAATAAAATTCATATGAATAAATGTTTGTACCCCTGTAGTGCGAGCACGGTTCTTTATGTCGACTCTTATCGAGATATTTATGTATCGACGTTTTTGACATTATATGTAGATATAACGACATTGGTAGCATGGATCTCAATTTTGTCGAGTTACGTCTAAACCTAATTTAGATCGACATAGATTATCGAATTTTGTCAATTTTAAATTACAATGTCGGCATGGTTCTAATTTTTGGCAGTTGTCATTGATATATTTTCGTTATTGTCTACACTTTAAAGTTGGTCAATAAACAAATTCGATATAAAAAGGAAGTGAATTTCAAGGAAAACCTGTAAAATGGACTTTGGGGATATTATTGTTTTGGAGACAGAGGCCGCCAGAAGAGTCCGCGATGAACGAAGAATTCATCGGCGGAATCTCCGAGATCGAAGTAACCTCTTCGGTTTAGGAGATGAAGAATTCCGAATTAAATGAATAGCCAAATACGAATTCTGTTGGAAGTATTATCAGAAATTACGATTTTTTCATACAAACTCGACCCCTTTTTTCTTTTTAGGGGGGAATTTCCAAAAAAACGAATTACGCTGGTCTTATTTCTTGACTGAATAGTTAAATAAGAATTTTCTAAATAAATGAAAAAAAAAACGCATTAACTTTTATCCCCCCCTTTTTACATGTAAGGGGAAATTTAAAAAAAACAAACGTATTCTAGTCATCCTTAGTTTTTCCTATGTTATTATTAATAGGTATTATATTATTAGTTGCTACGAAACCCTTCATGGGCGAGTCCGACTCGCACTTGGCCGGTTTTATTAAGAGACTAGCTTGACACTATCAAGTTACAACAACATATGGTTAATTGCTATACACAAAAATTTAATAAAGGAGAGAGCTGGCAACATTTATGAATGATGGATGAATGATAAATGAATGAAATATATTATTTAACTGACGTTGCCAATTTTTATATCGATAAAATAAAGCGCTCTACAAGCCTCGATAAACATATCGAAGCGAGTTCCATGCTACCATCCCTCGTTAAAATTCGATAAGTATATCGATTTATCGTCTCGATATGTTTATCGATCAAAGATCCGTGCTCGCACACTGGTTTGCAAACGTAAATATTTCAATCTTTTTATTGATTCAAATCTATCGTATGAATACAGGTCTTTTGTTTAGTATGTTTTAATTACTTTTTTCAACTATTCTATGAAATAAATCACGTTTGTCATAATGTTATAATTTTTTCCCAAAGTTTTAAACATACATTATGCAATACGAATGCTTAAAGACATTTAATATCACAAGATTTATGAATTGGTAAAGCGGCCTTAGCATGTTATCCCAGGACGACTACAGAGCTTATGTTGTATGAAAACAAATACATGTATCACACACATGCAGATTTAAAAAGTCATGGAAGTTGCTATAATTATCAAATGAAAAGGGACTATTTAATTTGTCGGTATGGCGTTTATATATATTTTTCACCAGGTTGTTATTATTGTCTTTTTAAGAGCAAGTGAATGTGTTTTAATTTGCTAATTAGTGAATTTATATACAAATAATGAAAATTATAGCTGCGAGCTCTGTACTGGTGATGTGTGTTTAACGAAATTAATAACGAGTACATGTTCAATGTTGTCGTTACATGATAAAATTAAAATAATCACAAAGTAAAGGTGTATGACCAGTTTAGATTTAATTAAAAAAAAGGCAATGTTAATTGTTTTAATAAAAAGTGTTCTGATAGTTATAGTAGCCTGCAGATTGTGTAGACACAAACAAGTTATTTTGTTTTCTTTTTTTTATTGTTTTAAAGCAATAATACTAAGAATTTTTGGATCTCCACTGAATTTAAATCGGATTTAAATCAACTGAACAGCTCGTAATCATTTTGAGGTACTTTCGTGGCTCAGAGATAGTTGATAAATATTTAAAACATATGGATGTTAGTTATTATATTATTACATCTTTCATCAAATGATCCAATACATTTCTTTCAGTAGCCATCTTTTAATATTGTATGTTTAATAGTGAAATTATCAAACAGCGATGCTACGGACGTGAGGTCGAACTGCAATCTACTGTATACTTGTTCATAAGCGTTGAGCGGTTTGAAGACGAGGTGCTGAGGCCAGATGCATTTTCCTCGGTGAACCAGGATCCATCCTAATAACAAACTAAATATTATAAAATAAATATAGATTTAGGCATAGGCCTGCATTTAAGATATCATTCGTCCTATCCAAATTTTTGACTGTTGGAGTGAACTCCGTCAGTTTCGATATACCTTTCAGTCATATCAAATAAAGTTAATGTAAAAATATTATTAATATAAAGTATTATGAACTCAGCTGTCGTCGTGGTTGTCTGGCGCGCGGCATTGTGCGTCGAGGAACTTGCAGTAAGTCTGGAAGGTGTGGTATCCTCCTGACTGTTCGTCAATGTCGTACCCGGAACAGTACCAGGCGAATACAGTCGGTGTGCAACCTTGATAGTTAAGATTACCAACTTGACGAGCGCACACCATTCCTATACTAAATAGAATATGAGAAAAATGAACCAACCAATAAGAAAGTATTCGTGAATAATATTAATGAGCCACACCTAGTGTAAATATCGATGCACTCTTCCCCACATACCATAGGAACCGGGGTTGTCGTTATTCCAGGTGGAAGTTCTGGATTCTGGAACACCCAGATTCCATCAGCCCAGTAAGGCTCGTAGCCATAGTTAGGATTGAATAATTTTGTTGTCTTCTGTCCAAACAGGTTATGTATACCACTAGGAGTAATGATTTGCCGTTATTATACACATCAGTATTTCTTTAAAAATATTTGTATAATTAATGAAAAAAAGACAATATCTATACGATCCGTACTCAGTACCGGTGACATTAAAATATTTGGATTGAATTATTATTGGCACAAAATAACTAAGAAATGTTAAAAAAAAATTATTTAATAATTTATTCAACAAAATATTTAGTTTCGATCTTTTTATTTCTTACTCAGGTACTCGAGGTTGTTGAGATCGAACTTGCAACTGAGTGATTTGGACTGTAATCAATATTCAAATTAAATTTAACGCATCTTGGATTTAACATAATCTTTTATACTTAGTTATATGGAAGAAATACTTACTAAAAAATACAATCAGAAGTAAATTCATTGAAATAACAGTGACAGTACTCAACGAAGTCAGAAGACTGTTTCATTGAATACTTGAATACATTCAGAAAGGTTCAGATGACGTCATATAACAATAACAATAAAAATTATATTGAATCATTTTAATTAAATGGAAAAAACCGAGTTCGCTACGATTTAATAATCAATGGAATAGATTTATGTTGTTTATTAAAAACGAATATCTATAAGCCATACGAACTGAATCACAGTAGAAACCTAAAAATGAATTTTATGCCCAACATCAGACATGTTCTTAGTGTGGTGACATGAATAATAATAAAACTTCAAACGGTTATGTAACGATACTCTCGTATATAGTACATACATACATATTACAATCGTGTTGCAAACTTTAATATTGTAAGATATGCGTGAGGCTCTCAACATTACGCTGAAACATCTTAGTAAATTTAGGTGTGTTTAAAAAAGTTTTCTGTAGTGTTAGATTATATACATATGTACATATATCGGAATTATTACAAAATTCATAGTTTTTAAAGAGAGAGACGCCAGCCTCGCTGACGTCACTAATGTCACTTCTTCCAGTACGTTCTATGATGTTTTAAAATTGTTCTAAATGTTTTTATATTTCTTGAAGGTTCTTCATATTCTTTAATGGTCCGCACTCACTGAACTCTGCTGTCGTGCGTCCAGACGTCATATTTATACCAAAATTTAAACATAGTTCTATTATGCTTTTAATCATGAATCATGAATACATGATGACAGCTTCAAGTTATTTTCATGTTGCATCTGTCATTAAAACTGATGGGGCCGATATATATATATAATTATTTATTCCTTAAGTTCTTATACTAGGTATTACGAACACGAAGGGGAAAGAAAATATGTATATTGGGTTTATAATTCAAATTTTTTATACGTATATGTATGTACTTACTTACTTACTTATTAATTAAATTCAGCTTTTAAGTTGAAAAAGTAGCAAGCGGTTTTCTTAACAACATCATGAAGACTGTAATACTAAAGAAGTCCGTTATAGTAAACAAAATCAATACAAATTCAAAGGAGTAAAATCCAATTTGCTCTTTTAGTCTCACTATTTTATTACTTTTGTAAAAACAATAATTCACATGAAGGCTATACCCAAAAAGAGGAGTGTTATAAGTTTGATGTCTGGGAATGTGTGTGTGTGTGTGCGTACTTGAGTGCGTGAATGTGTGTGCGTGCGGCCGCTCAAATTAATTATTTAATTTGTGTCTTCATTTGTCTACTATAACATTTTTTGTGGGATTTGATTGACAAAAATATATAATAGATACACATTATACATGTGAGTTATGACAAGCACAGCTATATGAAAATAATAATATCACGTAATTGTAAATATCATTTTCAGTTTTCATTTGTAAATAAAAGCATTAATGACATTGACATACAAAGCAAATGAACAAATCGTTAGTTATTTCGTTCAAAAGACATACAAAACTTATGATTTAGAAACACTTGAAAAAAGTTGTTTAAAAATATGTTATATCATACAAACTCGTATATAGAATATAAGATTCCGACTGTTTTGTTAATTTGCTTCTGTTGAAACATTAACTGAATTATATCTTTATGAATATTAAGTTTGCATCGTCACTCTAATAAGTGTTGCCCGTTTCTAATTCTAATACGTAGACACGTTAATACTAAATATCCAAAGGTTTTTTAATCAGAAACTCTTTAACGATTCGTATGTAGAATGACCATGAAAATTTAGACTAAGCATATTGTTTATTTATAAATGAAACTAATTTTTTCCGGATTCCGGATCTACAGTCATTTTATTATGAAAAAACTACATACTACCGACGTGTCGGTTATTTTACAGCAACCGTGCTCACAAGCAGACGAGATCGTGGTTTAATAATTAAAATAACATTTATTATTAAAATAATGGTTGCTCGGTCACTGATGTTTATCAGATTTTAGTAAGGCATCTTGCAACAATGATTCTTCACGATCTTCTGTTTCTTCGTAATTCCTCGTTTAGTAGTATAATAAATTAAAATGTAATGGAATTAATTGCATAAAATATTGACTCCCAAGTGGAAACTCGAGCTAATATTTTTTTATGTGCGGTGGGATAAGTTGCATGATCTTTACAATCGCCTCGGTACATGATCATCCATTCTAAAGAAACACCAATGTGAAACAATTACTGATATGTTAAATGGAACACTTTAATTTATTCTACATAAAATGGTCATTTACATTATATCTTATGCCCAGAAAGTTGTAGGACGGATGTATGAATGAGTCTGTTTATTTCTTTTCCCATTGAAACTTATGAATTTATTATAAAAACACTTTACAGTTATAATTATTATAATAAGGCGCGAAATTCAATGAAGTTAGTTCTCCCAACATGTGTGTATTAGGTGGCATATGTTTAAGTATTTGTTTTTTCACGCTATATATTTATTATGAGTACTATACAAAAAAAAAATGACTTAAAATATATTTCCTTCCCATATTATATATCACACAATTATTTCTGAGTTAATTAATACATAATGTCTTTGACTCTCTTTGATCAATATTTGTTAATTCCTATGGTTACTAAGTAGCTTTTTATTTATTGTTGGAGCTATACACCGTTATTATGCCATACCTCTGGTTTTGTCATCAATTAATAATATTTGGTCAGAGGTGCAGTAGTTTTATTCGTATATATTAGATAATTCCACTTTAACTACTTCCCAGTTATCTGATTCGCGAGGAGAGAAGATGAAAATGTCAATTGTCAAAAGTACAAAGTGCAAAGCATAGGTGTCAAACATAAAGAATGAGTTATTTTATCATACTTACTGGCTCTTCCCGTGCAGTCTTCGTTAAGAAGATCGCAGTAGTTTTTAAATTGTTTCCTTTGAAATAGTACATTTCTAGCGCATACCGTCCCAAACCTTCATGCAAGCATTATCTTCATTACTTCTGATAACCATTTCTTATTAGGTACATCAGTTAATGGTCATACACTTACAATATATACATTTCAGGACACGGATTGCCACAGATGCTGTTGGTGGGTTTGGCGGTTGTTCTATCTAACCTGTCGAACACCCAACTGCCACCCATCCAGTACGGCTCGAACCCAAAGTTAGGGTTGTAATATTTTGAACGCTTTGGACCCAGGTAGAAAACATCCTCGTCCATTTTCCTTCAAAATACACGTTTATATTAATTTTCCATCTTGTGAGGTTTAGGTTCTTTAATACAATTAATATGCTTTAGACTAATGCCATCACATAACATGTTAGTCATATAATTATTCATAGAAATTAAATTTGAACCATCCTTGCGCTTACACATTAAATCGGCTGAACAGTGATATATTTTTTCTAAGAACTAAGTTTGGACTTCAGAATTTGTCTTAGAAAGAAATGTAAAACAAAGTTTAAGTTTTGAAATTATAAACAATAGATTTGGTAATAAATTTTTGGCGATACTCTTCAGCCTCTGTGTTGTGACTTCATAAGAATTAGGTACAACTATAATGAACAACTATAATCGTGAATATTCTAAATGAACTTCCGGGATGACCTTATTCTTTAGTGTCCATTGCATGATTGAATAGTTACATTGAAATAAAGAATCATTTGAGTGAAAGAGCGACTAATACCAGGAGTATTACCCTCATAAACTTACGCATTTATAATATTGGTTGGATGTTCCACCAAGAACCAGCATTTTGACAAAAAGAATTTGTGGCGACAAAAATAAATTATCTAGTAATAAACGTATGAAGTATGAAGTGGTTTTTAAATTTTAGAATAGGTATTACGACATTTAAAATATTCTTAGTTCCACTCTTTATTTTTTTTTTCACAGACCCATTTACCTTCTAAATGTATCGGGAAAACCCTTTTGCAGCGACACTGTCAGCGCTTTAGTAGACGAAGGTTTTGTTACAGACTGATGAAGGAGAGCTGGTGATGCTTTCAAAGTAACACCGCTTGACACATCGAGTGTACAATACCGATCACATACTAGAAATATACAATTTAACTTTTAGGTAGACTTTGATTTGTTTAAATGAACAAAAACATTACCTTTACTTGTATATATTGTTTCCAAACATCATTTATATTTCCATTTTGATTCTTTCGATAAAAATACATTGATACAATATTTTTTAGTCCCTTTAAATTGTGTTACATTGAGAACATTATGTAATTCATGTAAGTATTTTAAGTATAAGATAATTATGTGTAAGGATTTACAGATTTTTATAAAAGTAAACATAAATATTATATAAAATGAAACTGCAACTATTCTCAACTCAATAATAATTAATAATGTTATAACACTCACCCATAAAACATACGAATAACTTTAATATTAACATTGGCTGAAATAGTCTTTTTCAATTAATAAACTGATTATAAAGTAACTAAGTAGTAAACATTATTACAAGAATTAAACGACAAAAATCACGCTCGTACTGTTTTAAATACTATAGGTAATGCAAGTTGATTGAAATGGAAAAATACAATATTGCAATACACATAAAGTTGAAATGTATTCTGTAGTTACGTTCGTAAAAGGCATATTCATGTAACAGATTCGATATCTTACTTCGAATGACATTTCAGAATTCTTTTCTCTTTGACGTAAATATATCGCTAGAAATTTTTCTCTTATGTCTCAGCACACTGCAAATAATATATTATGTACCTATGTTTGCAATTAGTAAAAAATACGACTGCTTTACCTTGTTGCCAAATTAAATAGTCAAAGCATTTTCAGCATTCATAATTCAAATGTTTTTATATTATATAAATTATAATTGTAATTTGTAACAATGGCAATTTGTCCTCCTAACTAATGAGGTATCTAAAAACTAGTTCTATATTTCCATGTCGGTCAAATGCTACGGATAAAGGGAAGTGATAATCTAAATTCATGTATACAAAATGCAAATAAGGTCTAAAATTTATGCCTCATATAAGGAACCTATGCAAATATTTGCTATCTGTCTTTGTAGATAGGGCGTTTAAAAAAATTGTGGTCTGCTTGACAGTTATTTGTCTCGGCATTAACGCTTATCAATGGCACGCCGCTCCCGACCCGACCCGCCGGGCTGTATGACCTCTGCCATTCTTATTTATGGCAGCAATTCATGTTTTAATGGAAGCGTACATATGGAGACTGTAACATGCAGATGAGTTTGTATGTTTGTTGATTCTATCTTAATTTTTGTTTATAACTTAAAGAGAAGAAAACAGTTTTAGATGATATGAAATAAAAAATAATAACTGAAACATTTCAACGCACAAATTTTATACTAGTGACTTTTAGAATCATTCCAATGTATATCTTTTATTAAGATTAGTTATCCAACTGTAAAACAAGCACTTTCCTAGAAAGCTAAAAAATGTCGTGTCCACTGTATTAAGCAGTAAAATTACTTCACCGTGAGATATTAAATTCTGATCGTAATCATATAAATACATATTCCACGAGCCTTATTTCTTCATTGTACAGGAATATGAACCAACGGTAAAATTTGAATAAGCTTATTTACTTTTGACGTTGAAAGATGAATTTATAACGTAATACACCTTTGGCATTTGCAATTTGTTGGACGTATGCCTCTACATGTACCCATACCGTAAATAGGAGTTGTATTTTGGCTCCGGCCCTAAAAGCACATCATAAATATCGTGCAACCCTCAAATAAACGTAGTTACCACTGCCAATATTTTCAGATTATATATGCAATTTGTAATGAAAATCATAAAAGCAAATTTTTTTTGTGAGACACTATATTTTTGCCGAAACCGAAATAAAATTAATTTATTCTAGTTTAAGAAATTCGGGGCTAAAAACAAGTGACCAAAATTACTATAGTTCCCAAAAAGGACAATATAAATTTAAACAATAATACAAAGGACTCAACCGCAGATCCGGAAGGGATTGTTGGCTCGTGGCTATCCCTCAAGAACTTTCCTTATCGATTACACAAGCTCTTTGTGAAGTATCTGAAAAAGGTAGTCCTCATAATTGTTGGACGCTTATCACACATTGATTCAGATATTGACACTCCTTTAATTATTTCACTACTATTTTTCCTACTGTTTCACGATCGAGACGATCAAGCTTTATGCTTCACTTCATCGAACACTTAACGGGTTAGATCCGGGTCTAGCCTAATAAGTAAAACCAGTTGGGTTTCCAGCGATTTATCCGTGGTATTTTGACAATGTTCCACGACATTGGGTAATCATGTAAAACTTACAAACCATCACTCCAACCAATGACGTCTGGCGTTGAACTTGTGGTTATGTAACCTCATCCTCGGATTTTCTCAAAAATTTTGTTATTTTAATAAGTTGTATTGTAATGAGATCTAACGTCGGGAGTATGTAGTTTCTAAAAATAAAAACGCGAAGTAAAATCCGAAAATATTAGTTTCATTTAAGTTGTATTGTTTTAATTATTTACTTTAAAAATTCAAATGTGTTTTGTAATAAAAGTACCTAATAATATCGAGTCCAAAATTCAGAAAAACAGATGAATAAACTTTTATTTTTCTTAAGATATAATAATTTTCCTTAATTATCTAAAGTTTGTTATTTTCATTATTTTACATGTGTACTATTGATAACATATTGATTGTTTTATTATATACATAGTGTCTAAATCTCTAGAGTTTACATCTCAAGATGTGAACTCCTCACCCCTTCCTTATTTCGTCTACAAAGTGTGTGCTATTGTTCAATATCATATTTAATTTCTATTACTGCAAGTGTTTTCTCATGTCTCGCAGCTCACTCCGGGGAAATATAACTTCGCCATCCATCCAATATGAAATGGGTATTCGATGCACAACACGATATTATATTGAGCGAAATAAAATTACTGGTGCCTTGTATTTATTTTAGAAACTTGATATTTATTCATGGCTGAAGTTCTACGGAGTGTTTTTCCGTGGCTCGTTACTGAGGGGCTTCAAATATAATTTATGCTCGAGTTGTAATATATGTTTATAAAGTTCAATATTTTCATATGTCATTATTTTTCTCGTGTTTTCAAGTTCTAGTTACTTCTGGCTCTTCTTTCTTTGTATGTTCTGTATTTATTAATAACATTTAAAAAGATTCCAGTTCTTTATTATAAGTTTATGTAATTTTTTAGTATTGAGCCTTGTAGCCAGATGACAAATCAACCATTTATTTTTTTTTAATTTTTTTGTGTTTATTTTATAGAGTTAATTTATTAACACAGAAAAGTTTTATACCTACATATATGCTTACCAAAGGAAATACTCCAACGACTGACACAAAATTACTTTCCGAAAGTTTATCGAAAACAGATCCAATTTTTGTTGAATTTTCCTTAAATTATTTAGCTTGCCTCTAATTTCAAACTGTTTTTCGCCCGATCTTTAAGATGAAAAGCACAAAGTTATGATTTTTAATCAATTTTTAAGTCTTTGAATTCTTCGAGATGAAGTGACAGAATTGTAACATGACTCGAAAATAAGTTATATTATTTTATATTAATAAATATTTTTACTCTTAATTTTGTTAAAATATGTTTCGATGTTTTTATTAAAGCGTATGACCACATTAAATAAAAAACATAATTGTGTACTTTTTGAAAGTATTTAGCCATAAGTTCATTTTAATTCATAAATGGGAAGGCCAGAGTACATTTTTAACTATTTTAAATTATTAAAAATATAAAATAAATAATTATCGTGAATACATAGTCTTTGTGGGCCAGATTGAATGCCATACTCTTTATTGTTTAAGCATAGAGAGATAATAATATAATGATTTTCACATAAAATTTGTCTATAGACCAATGGAATTCAATTAGCGTATATTCACTCATAAATCAGTAATATATAATTAATTTCCTAGTGTAATCTTAAAACATACACTGATTGACTTCCAGGTACTTAACAACGCCATCTACTGTTGTTTCGTTAAAGCAATTAGCAAAAAGTAGTATTACTATTCGCCAATAGATGTCAGGAAGGGTCATATCTTAAACGACTCCTTTTTGTTCTTTTTTTAAATAATCATTTGACATCACACCTACACTATCCGTGACTCCTTTTTATTTATTTTTTTAATAAAATAACATTTTCTAAAAATGATTTATCGCCCCATAACCTCCTATATACTAAATTTCATGAAAATCTTTGGATCCAATTCCGCTGATACATAAATATATATAAGAATTATATGTATATATATAAGAATTGCTGATTTAAAGATATACGATTTAATATTCTAAAGTGACTGAATATGAGGTACGATGTAAAAAAAACTTCAGTTATATGTAAAATATTTTATTATAAATAGTAGCAGACAGTGGACACCTCACTCCAGTCAGAAATAACTTTACACTGAATACATGAACTAGTTGAGACACTCCTACACGTACATAGACATCTTTTTATTTATTACATTTAAACCATTCAGAACTATTTTAATATTTAAATCCTGTCTCCGGAGCATTCGTCAACATTTCAATTTGAATGTCAACAAAATCACTTATAGTCTAATACTCCAATATTATTCAATGTCCACAATCATTCACGTGTTTCTCTACATTTGTATCATCGGATATTGTTGTTCTAATAATATAGACAATATTATTCAGTTGGTACAATATAATCTTAAATCTATGAAGTAATTCCGTGTATATAGCCCGGCTTCTACCGCCTGTTGTCTGTCCTGGTGACGCCCGACATCCCGTCAGCGAACCTCGTGCGGAACAGAACATTAGCGTTGTTGAACATACCGTCCTTCAGAGACACTATGATGAACTGAAACAAACGACGACCAACACACTCACACACTACCAGCGACGATAAGAATTTATGTAAATATGTCAAAGATATTAGTATATAATGCGCGAGACATAAGCTGAGCTTTGTATTCGTGTAAGTGTAAAATTTTTAAATCCCACATTTTTTCTAAGTTTGAAACGGTTTATACTGCTTTCACTCCGCCCCGCAGCTTCCGCACTTCACCCTTTGTACTGGTAGCAACATCAAATGTTGAAAACGCAATGTCAAGTGAAGAAAAATTTTTAGTGTTATTTCAACATTTTTAATATTAATTAATTATTTTTCACAATATTACCACCTGGTCTTTTACAAGTTTGGTTTATTTTATTTTTAATCTAGACTAGCACTCGCACTTATGTTCTATATCTATTTAAGATATAATAAAATTTAATTGTGAAAGTTTTTTTGTGGTGGTGGTAGTAATGCTTCTATATTGAATAAAGTTATTTGAGTTTGAGTTTGAATTTGTCTATTTCTTTTTACTTTCACTCACATAAACGCAAATACAAAGCTCATCTTAAGTCTAACAGACTATACTCTATAGTATACATACCTGTGAGTGTGTGAAGTGTTCCTTGAGCATGCGGCCGATGTTCTGTGTATGCGACAGGTCGAGCGCGGCGTCCACCTCGTCCAGGATGTACAGCGGCGCGGGCCGGAACAGAAGCAGCGCCAGCACTAGAGACAGCGCCACCAGCGACCGCTGACCACCGGACAACTCGCCCAGGGACTCCTTCCACGTGTTGTTGAACCCGATCTTCACCTGGCGGGGGTCGGAACATCAATATTAATGTACAATAACTAATATGATGCATATTTGAGATAGTATCATCTATCTATCAGAGCCCACTGCTTAACAAAGACCTCTTCTCACATAGAAAAGATCAGATGCATTAAGCACCACACTTGCTCAAGAGGGATTGGCGATTTCAAACCTATAACTTGAAATTATAATTACTGATTTTTCATGACGTTTGCTTTCACAGTCTTTCAGTGGTGTCTAAATACTCTTAGAAAGTACATATGACTCGGAAGTCGGAACAATCACATTGGTACCCGTCAGGTTTCGAACCCGCGCCCTTATGTATGAGAGGTGGGCTTTTAACCACTAGGCTACCACGACTCTACAGAAAAAATGTTTATTGGCACGAGGGGAATCCCGACCCGCGACCTCCGGGTGTGTCTTCACTTTCTATCAGGATTTAAATTCAAGTTTTACTTCCACATATATTTCCTATGTATGTATGTATACTGTATCATATCCACGTTACCTCCAGTCCGTCCAGTACGTTCTGTCCGGGCGGCGGTGTGAGTCGCGCCTGTGCTCCAGGCAGCAGGCTGCTGAAAATAGACCCGAAGTCCCTGTTGACCTGTTCGCAGGCGGTCAGCAGCGTCTTCCTCTTCTTGTCGTCGAGCTCCGCCATCACCTGCACCAGCTTGGCGCGGTCCGCTTCTACTATCTTCTTCTTACGCATCACGTCTTGATACTGGACAGATTTATTTATTTATTTATTAGAAATAGTTACACCATCGACTTATCACTAACACATTCACTTAATAGTAGATACTGGGTATTAAATCTAGGTGAATAAATCATTATAGGGGTAAACAACATTGACCTTAAGATAAGACTATACTAACCTAATTATATCTTTACTAAAAATTAAAAATAAAAACAAACTATAGATAATTAAACAAAACATAAAATAAAATTTAAATGCAACAACAAAAATCTACAAGGGTTGACATAATTTAATTTATGGATAAAATGGGTTTAAAGTTATACTATGAGATCTTTACAGAGCTTCACAAAAGTTGGCTTGCTTTGGGGAAAGATGTTGATATTGCCGTTAGAGGAATATTCATTATAAGAATTAATTATTCCGTTGAGGGGTGCATGTTTACCTAAATTTGTTTTAGAAGCTGTAGTTCTGAAATGTTTTTTTATTGGGTGTCTAGGAATTTTGCGGGGAACAACTAAATTGATTTGCTGAAGTAGTTCAGATGACATTATTTGACCGTGGATCAGTTTGTGTAGGGTCAAAACATCGCTGATTTCACGGCGACTTTTAATTGATATCATTTCTAAATGTTTTAGCCTATTATTGTAGTTAGCGCGATAAGGACAACTAGTATCCTTGTATGCAAGAAAACGGGTAAAATTTTGTTGTATTCGCTCTAGTCCTTCGATATAAGTGTTATAAAATGGGTTCCAGATATTTGATGCATACTCTAAATTGGAACGTACAAGAGAATTACAAATGCAGAGCAATGAGCGAGTATTCTTAAAATCCTTGCATGTTCGTTTTATAAATCCTAACATTTTCCAAGCTTTAGATATTATTTTGTCTAAATGATTAATAAAATTTAAATTGCTATCGATAAGTTCACCTAGGTCTCGAATTGAATTAACTTCGGACAGATCGTTAGTGTGACGTCAAGCGGTGTATGACTCTTCATATATTGTTGGTTCACGTCTCACCTGTTCCTCCTCCTTCCCCAGCAGCGTGTGAGCCCGCGCGTTCAGTCCCCGCGCCAGGCGATCTTTTCTGTCCTTGAGCTGTGTGAGGCGCGCTCCGCTCGAGTTCATGTCTCTGCCGAACTCGAAGGCTCCTCCAGCCAGACCGAAGTACTGACGCTCCGACGGGATCCACGGGTTCTCAGACACCAGGGACTTGATCTGATGATATACGAATAAGTTGCGTTCATTAAACGATCTTGGAACGGATTATAACTTTGAGAAATAAAATGTTATATGATATATCTTAATACAAAAAAAAAACTAGTGTTCGAGTTTTAAATATATATGGGTCATCTCAGAACTCACAGAGAAAATTTTCAATATCTCGTTAGTAAAATCATTAATTAGATAAACACAATATATTCTCTTGAATTCAACATAGTAGTTTACACGGTGAAAATAAAGATCAGTTTCGATTGTGATCACACTGACTATAGGCGGCGCTGGTGACGGCTGCTCGGTTGTTTTTATTTTCTTTCAATAGATGACGCCTTTACTATATTATAGATCGAATTTAATAATCCCTTAAACACTCATGTTGAGTGATGGTAAAACATGTAAGTGAAAATTTACTATTATGTATTAATTGTTTCACAAGGAGGGTGGGTAGTGTTTATTTGTATGTGTGTAGTCTTCGTACCGCTGAAGAGATCCCCGATTTAAGAAAATATATTATGTTAAGAACCGCTACATTTACTTGGTTAATATAGAATTATTAATCCACGCACAGTAACAAGCACGCGACAGTTTAACTGAACAAAGTAATTTGAAGCGACATTCAAGTCGTTACAGGTTCGAATTCATCAAACTATTTCCTTATTAGTAGTTTAATTCAAACTAAAATAATAACATATTCCTCTTATAATATTAATCGTCCTGGGAGCTTAGTCTGCTCGAATTAGCTTCCAGAGTAATATTCACGACAACGAGATTACGGACAGAAAAACGAATTGCTAGTGAGAGGAGAAGTTTAGTAAAGGGGATAATGACTGTTCACATGATGGAGGTGAGATACATCGTCCCCCCCTCCCCGCGCGTACCTTCCTCTCCCCCTCGGCGGCCTCCTGCTGCAGCTCCCTGCCCCTGTACTCCAGCTGCTTCACGTCCAGCTCCAGCTCCCTGCTCCTCGCCACAAGCTCCTCCTTCCTCTTGTTGAGGTTAGCGACCTCCCCGCTGCGGCTCGCTATCTCCGCTTTTTGGATCTTGATCTTGTTTTGTATCTCTTTGATGTCGTTCTGTGAACATGTTTATATAATACATACATTACCTCTCGATCTCGCCACTCTGCAACATTTAGAGCTAAGCTATATTCTCTTATTGGAATTGTTCTTGTTTTACGTTATAGTTAATAATAAGTTGACATGTAACAATGATTCAGAACATTTTACTGTGAATAGAAACTCAATAGAATTGAAACCAATCAGTTGGTACAAGACCTTCGTTTACATTTGGAATCTATATATTAGTTATACGTGTTATAAAACATTTTGCAAATGTTTTCTGGGGACAAGAATCAAAAATAATATTATTTCGATCTTTTAATCTATAAAAGACAATTCTTTAGACGCATATTTCCATTTCAAATAACGTTTGATATAATCTTTAAACTTCTGTACAACAGATGTCACATGTAACAGATACTAATGAACTAAAAAAATTCTTCACACAATAAATATATATCCCGGATCAAATCTGATTTAAACACGTTATAAACTTTACATGATCGATCCTGAGCCTAGTACATCCAGTACGCACCGCGTATTCATACTGAGCTATATTAAAAATATTGAAATTATGACTTTTTATTATAATTAAATTTAAACTGACAAGTAACCATGATATAGAACATCCTCTTGAAGAGAAATTTAATAGAATTATTTACACTAATAGTGGCAATCAGCAATCAGTTGGTACAAGACAGTTCGTTAACACTGTAAGAATCTATAATTTATTGTATAAATCGATTCCATACATTATTATTAACCACAATATATTTTGTAACATCTAATATCAGAGTTACACTTCTTATGTGAGTGTGGCAGGTGTCCTTCTGATATTGAACGTGTGGGTAGTTACTAGTTATCCACGACATGTAAAACTGAACGGTCGATATTAAAATATGAATATTAAATCTAATCATATCGAAGTTGATCCTTTAATACTTATATTCTACTAGCGCCCGGCAGTGTTAGCCGCGGATTTCCGGGTTGTAAAGTAGCCTATGTATTATTCCTGGACGTCAGCTTCCTGTATACAAAATTTTATCAAAATCGGTTCAGCAGTTTGAACGTGAAGAAGTAACAAACATACTATAATATTAGTAGGATACTTGGCGCTCACCGCGTGTCTGTCGTGTATCTCCCGGGCCCGCTGCAGCTCCCCCTCCAGCCCCAGCGCCCCCTCCCCCGCCAGCTGCACGGCCCGCTCCCCCCCCTCCACGGCCCGCCGCAGCTCCTCCAGCTCCAGCCGCAGCGTGTCGTGTTCCTGTTCCCTGTGTTTCCAGGAGGCCGTGTGCTGCTCCGCCTCCTTCTTGGCCAGCTTCAACTCCTCCTCGGCCTTCTTGTACTCCCTGTGTCACAGTTTGGTGATCGTTAGTATATATAAGTTACCAAACTTCACCCGCAGGTCTATCAGCATTTTTGTATATGGATCAGATGGAAGAAACATTGAAGTGCGTTACACGTAAAGAATTTCGTTCGCGTAGACTTTGAAATCGGAATGAAATGTATAAAGTGTATTAGAGCCATCAATCTGGTAATCGCCCGTGAAAGTGTTGTGTGTATCATTTGGTGTCAGACACAGTAGAGCTGTGACGCACGCTCGGGTGAGAACTAAGATAAATTCCGGAATACATCATTGCTTATGTCCTATTATGATGCCTGAGCTTCTTTAAAGATTCAACAGTCTGATAGGTACGTTTGTTACGCAAGAACCACAAACATTCATACATCTACACCTCACAATTTAACGCGTTTATAATATTAGTTTATTGCTAGTGAGTTTAATTGAATCATCATGTATATATGTACTACATATAATGTCAGTGCTCCGTGTTAGTATATCAGTATCATGTACGCGCCTCTCCCTGTGTCCCTTGATGTCTTTAACCTTCATCTCCAGTTCCCTGGCGCGCGCGGTCGTCTGCTGCTGCGTGTGTCGGTCCTCCTCCACGGCCGCTGTGAGACGCGCCACCTGAAATAACAATAGGTGATACGTGTTAACAATCTACTATGGAATTGTGAGTTTATTCAAGATGTGTTTTAAACATTTCTATCATTATTTTCTTAGTCTTCATCTTATATATGTTCTAATTTCTAATAAGTGATGACTAAAAGACCCTACAGATATCGGACAAACGAATTTATATAATGATTGCAAGGTGTTATCCGTTCGTCAACTATTTATTTATGAAACTGTTTTACGCAAACACAATACCCTAACTTATGTTGATAATCGTGATAAAAGGAGAGTATATACTCCACATAATACTCCACATTGAAAAACACAGAAGTAAACTTGCAGGGAGACATTATTATATTATGAGCTCCAGATTATACAATAAAATTAACAAACTTATAAATATATATCAACTTAATAGAAATAAATGTAAAAAAGTACTCAATGAATGGTTGCTAGCAAAGTCGTACGATGAAATTGAAAAGCTGCTTGAAGTCTTAGGTTCCTAATAAGCAAACACACACACACACACACACAAACATCTTAAATATACTCATGCTCAATTTTACACATACTACTAATTCTATTTTACTATACTAGTTATATTCTAAGTTATAGCTAACAATTATATGTTTATCATACTCTACATAATATATTATGTTGACTTTTTTTGCTATTCCACTTTAGTAAACTTGGTAAAATGAATCCTTTGCAACAGGAGAGTACTGTCGCCTGAAATACAGGTTTATACCCAGCTCAGGGACAGTAGATTTTATTTACATAAATACCTTTTACCTTTAGGCATTGTGATCAGATTATGTTAATGTCTATACAATTGTAATGTGTTTGAGATAAATAAACATTATTATTATTATTAATTTCTAACTTAAGCCGTAGTTATGTATTGTAACATGAAATTCTAACGCTATCGAGGGAAATGTACCCCAGCAGGTGTGAGGCTTATCGTTTAGCGTTTAGAGGTGTGAGTTTCCATTCTCCTGTTCAAGTCCACGTGTCAAGTAGTCGTCAGTTAGTATCTATAGTTCGTGTGTGACTCACGTTATCTCTCAGCGCCTGTATCTCCGCGTGTAGCTGCGCGGTGGCGGTGCAGGCGGCGCGCTCCTCGCTCACCGCCAGCGCGTGGCGACTCATCTCCAACCTGTAAGTCATATAAACACACGCCTCTATACAAAGGTAATTTCAACAAAAGTTTCAATCCGGTTCATTTAATGTCATAGTATAAACTACATAGATGGAATAATCTTTTCGTTCATCAGTACTACAGTCACTATTTTCTTAAGTTTCTATTTATTGGAGCGACCAATATGATTCACGACTGGCTGTGCCGCTCCGACTGAGACGGGCATATTGTTAGTTGTGTATGATGTATGATCCTCTAGTAACGATAGATTCATTAATAAAAATACTATTTGGTATTTTTATTAATGATGTCGCTACTTGTTTTCATCATAGTAGATTTCAGTTGTTCGCCGATGATCTCAAATTTTATTCAGAAATTCATAGGCCAGATGACTCGATACAGTTACAGCAGGATCTAGATAGATTAACAGTATGGTGTAAACAAAATTATTTGAAGCTTAATATTGTAAAAAATGTAAAAGTATTACATTCAGTAAAAAAACTTTTAACACATCATTTTGTTACAATATCGATGGCAACGTTCTTGAAAGTGTAACGCAGTTTCGTGATCTCGGTATTACAATGGACTCCAAACTCAGTTTCGTTCCACATATCGACGATATTGTTAATAAGTCTTTCAAGTCCATGGGCTTCATAATTAGGAATACAAAAAAATTTAAGAGTATCTACACAGGGCAGTGGTTGTTTGATTATTTAGTTCGCAGTAAGTTAGAGTACTGTTCAACTACTTGGAATCCATATTATAATGTCCATAAAGACAGAATAGAAAGAATATTTAAGAAATTTTTACGATATTTATGCTTTATTGATAAAAATAGTTTACAAAACGAAAATTACAAGACTATACTTGCTAACTATCTATGTGTTTCTTTCATAGAATTATATCCAACGCTATCGACTGTCCTGATCTATTAAATCGAATTAATGTTGTAGTTCCGAGACAAAATGCCAGACATACAACATACTACACTTTTAAAAGTAGGTTTTGTAGGACCAATTTAGGCCAAGCTGCGCCAATAAGTAGAGTCATTAAATGTTATAATGATATTGAGCGTAAAGCAAATCTAGACATTTTTAATGATAGTTTGAGTTTGTATAAAAGTAAAATTAAAAAACATTTCCTTTTGTCATGTCACAACTTTTTTTGGTAATTAAGTTTCGTTTTATATAGCTGTTTTTAGATTATTATTATTATTTTTTAAATCCTTTTTGTTGTTATATACATTTTTTTTTCTTTTTTTTCACCATTTTTTTTATTGTATCTAGTAAGTTTTGGAGTAAGATTTACACATTATGTAATCCATGTTGAGTTAGCCCGTAAGTGATGATACGCAACTGTAAAATTAAGTTCCATGATGTTATAATGTAGGTATAAGTTTTTGTGTATCACGTTGGCTTTCTATTAAGTAAAATAAAAAATAACCTCTGCTGCAGCGCGGCGTGTTTGTCCGCTTGTTGCTGCATGTTCTCCAGTTGTCTGGTGAGCTCGGCCAGCTGCTGGTCCTCGTCCGCCAGCTGTGTCTCCAGGTCCCTGAGTTCCTTCAGTTCCAACAGCAGCGAGCCGCCGCGGGCCCGCGCGCCCCCGGACAGTGTCCCCGCGGGGTCGAACACGTCCCCGTCCAGGGTGACGGAGCGACACCTGACCCGAGGGTCGAAGGTCACGCATCGCGCCGCCTCCAAGGAGCTGCACACCAGCGTGTTGCCGAACACCCAGGACATGGCCGGTCGGAGCGCGGGCGGGAAGTCGATCAGGTCGAGTGCCAACTGAACCTCGGACGGGCCGCCGCCCTGGGAGTATACACATGGTAATGTTAACATATAACCAGTACAGACGGGAACATCATTCTTATTTCCTTAACCTGTTAACCGGGGCATTCCCTTTTTAATTACGCAGCATATAACGGGCGCGAATTCTTTCACTAATACGTATAAAGGACGTGTTTATGCGTCGTACCCGTACACGATATAGTTTACGTTTGACGTGTATATTATACGTATATGTGTCCCGCCCGTTTAACAGGTTACAAATGACTTACGATCTTCTGCGCCAGCGCGACCGTCTCCCGCGCCAGTGGTTGCGAGGAGATCCTGTTGAGAGGTATGATGGTGGTCCTCGTCTGTAGCTGTCCTCTCTGCAGCAACAGCTTGCTGGTCTCGTCCGTGTCCACCACCACGTTGTATAGCTGCAGGATTCACATATCAATCATCTCAAAGGTAATCAGTATATTTCAATATAATTCAGTCTACCAAATAATAAAGTCTACAACAGATATCAGCCTGTATAACAGCGTATTTGTTTTTGCTACGAGACGCGACGGTAGTAATATTAAAGTATAATCGCGTAATCTGCAAAGTGCAAGATATACCCTCGTTAATATTTTTCTGTACATAAAATATTATGTAGTTAGATTCTTTTTTTTTGTATTTAATTGTATAGAATATTTTTGTTTTGTTCGTTTTTTTAGTTATTTTAGTGTTATGTATTAGTTATATAAGTGTAAAATGTAAAATTGACGACACTGGTGTTCGGAAAAATTTGAATGAGTTTATCTTATCATCTTTAAATGTAATAAATAAAAAAAAATAAAAATAAAAATTTGTTTATTACTGTAACTTAAACCTAAAAACAAACAGATACAGCTAGGGAGCTCCTTTTAAGAAATGGAATTATCTTGTGTTAGGAGTCCCCGCTCTGCCACAAACGGAATCAATGTAAAACCATGTTACACGTATTCTTTTTGTAATTAAATAAATAAATAAAATAAACCCACCCGTCCGCCCGCCGCCGTCTCTAGCGCCGTGCAGTACTTCGGATCTCTGACGTCTATGAGTCTGCAGACGGTACCTGCAACATGCACAGACGACAAACACATATCAATTATCAGTTAGTAAGATAAAAATATATTTAGCGGGCCATACACATGTATAGAGCAAGGACTCACCGGATACTTTGCTAGTGTCGAAGTTGGCGGTGGGCGGCGTGTACTTAAAGTGACACCGTTGTAGACGTGCGGCGAGCTGGTCGGCGCGGTCCCTCCTCTCCCTCCCGCCGGCCCGTAGTGTCCGCAGCTGTTCTTGAAGGGCGCTTCGATGATCAACACTGAACGTACTCGACGATAACTGGGCCTGGAACACAACATACGGTTACTGAACACGATTAATTTTTATTTTATTTTGCTTTATTAAGGCACAAACAGTTCACAATACACTTAAATTATAAATAAAAATTACAAAAACATACACCAATGAAGCTGCCACAAATAAAAAAAAACAAACAAATACAATAGTTTTAAAAATCGACAAACGTAACATTGTAATCTTACTTACGGAAAAGGAATACATATTAAGTAATAAACTAAGATTTTATTTTTGGGTTTCAAACAACATTTTTTTAAATGTGTAAGGAAACATTAAACATATCAATATGACTAAAACCTTCATTATATTTTACGCAAACTCTATTGTAAATGAGTTTTGAGCGTAATATGTTCTAACTTTAAATAAGATCCATCAAAAGAAAAACCATCGCTGATTGCTTTCGACAATCTATCACACTCTAGAAAGGAATGATTTTTGATAATAATATTTTGATCATTTATATCATTCATTACCTGATATCTAATGTTCAATAATAATCTCAGATTTCATGAATTATTATCGGTGAATTTAACGATAATAATAATATTAATTTGCTCTGAATGAAGGTACAGAATATAGGTGTACAAAAAGATTTTAGTTTAAGTTCCAGGTACATTCTTCCATAAGGCATGCAAATATTAAGTTTAAATCATAAATAAAAATTAAATATTCAATTAAAATCAGAAATTAAATTGACCATGCAATTATAATTATAAATTCATATTAAGTGTTTTACAGATGAAAATTAACAATTCAATAAAATAACAAAGTCAATTCAACAATACTCGTACAATTGAAATTATAAATTAAACTTAACTACATAAGTAAAATTAACTATACAATTTTATTATATTTCCTATGATTTGTGATACAATGATAGATAGATAGTTATTTAAGTTATATATTTTATACATTTTTTATTCAGCAATTTCTAACAAAATTATGTCTTATCCATTAGAAAATCATTTACGGAATAATAGCACTTGTTAACTAGAAAAGAAAACAAAAAATTTTTAAATTTTATATAAGTTAAATCTTTTATCTCATTCGGTATTTTGTTATATATAGTAGGGGCCATGTCCAATACGTTTCTTTTCAATAATGCAGTTTTGAGGCTGCCTGTACATAAAATATTCTGATATTGAGACCTTAGATTTATAGCGCGATTTCTCGTTTCTCTTAATGATGGAAAAATGTGCTTATTTTTTTTCACAAAGACTGCAATTTCGAATATATATAAACAAGGAAATGTTAAAAGCTTATATTTCCTAAAAATCGGTATACAGCTGTACGTAACCTCCAAATTGAAAATAGATCTAAGGCATTGTTTTTGACCCTTAAAAATACTTTCCCTTTCCCTTTACGATGATGCAAGTCGTTTATAATAATATATAGTTCTAATCCGTCCACCAACCTCCAGTCGTTCCACCTCGGCCCTGTGTCGTTCGATCCCCTCCATATCTCTCTTGTACTGCGCGCTGCTACTCTTGAACTCCTTCTCCAGCGTCTTGAGGCGATCCTCCGCATGTTTCTTCTCCATCTGACTCTGTGATATTCGAGTCGACGCTTCCGAAGCTTGTTGCTTCGCAGCTAAAAATACGAAAACATACTTTAGACACTACAATAAACTTAGAGGCTATCGGGAACTATATTCCTTATGTTGGGAACTATATCTATTGTTAGTGATAATTATTTATAATGATTTAAATATTTGTCTACTTCACAATTCTAACCTTGACGTTATTTATATTCTAATATTTATTGGAAATTCTCATAACAATCAACTAGCCATCTACATATTTGTTGTAATAGTTTAATGTTAATAATATTTCTGTACAGTCATTTAAATGTCGAAATACTTAACGATTGGTTTTATAATTTATAATTAGAGCCTTAGACCCAGTTTCACCAATCATGGTTAAATAAGTAACATCGTGTTAAGGCGTTTGATGCTCTGTTAGATGCATCGAGCGTCCCACCACGCACAAATGTCCGTTTAAATATCTTAACCAGCCACTAATATTAATTCCTGCTCTAGCGGTCGGCCAAATGACTAACCTAATGTTAATGGCATTGTCAAAACTCAATTGTCCAATCACAGCCCTGATTTCTTATAACCATAGTTACGTCATCTGTTTTGTCAGTTGCGACTATTTCCTTGTTATTATTAATACAGTGAATTAAACTTTCATTTAGTATGATGATTTTGCCTCCAGCTTTTCTATAACATTGAAAATTAAGTTTTCTTTTTATTTCTTATAATTTGAACACAATTTATGTCTTTATTTATAACACAATAATATATAACACAATTTATTGACAACACGATTTTGACAAGTTACACCTAGTAAATTGAAAAGAAAGCTTCTTGTGTGCTAAATGTATGCAACCAACGATATATAAAGTTTGGTCGCATTAGCTTACAAGTGACGTATCGAGGGATATACAGGGTGTATGAAAAACTGTGTCAACCTTAACTGCGTTATCAGTATCGAAAATGGAACACAATAAAACAACTTACATTTACAAACTCTTCAATAAAAATAATAAAATTAAATATTAAATGATTATTATACGTACAGTAACAAAATGTTTGTAAGCCCTGGTATAACACAATGACACTCAATGACGTCATCACACCTGCTGCGCTACTAGTGACGAACTCGAAGTGACTTTCACATTATTGAAAATATCGATATTTAAAAAATCATAACAATAAATAAATATTTAATATTCATATTATTTCGATACTTATTTTGATATATCAAACTTTAATAATATTTTTGATTGTAAAACACCATTTTTAACAGAAATAGATTAACGATTTATCCTAATAATACAACGTATGTAGTTAATTTACCTAAACAAGTTTCAAATTATAATATTTATTATTAATAAAAGTTATTTTAAATGAAATTATTTTAATGTGAAAAGCATAACTATTTATAGCAATATTGAAAATGTCGATAGAATATTTATCGATATAACTAATTTTTACACTTTCAAATCTCTTGCGGTCAATGGTCACGCATGCGTCATCGCGACGATACGGTGTCTTGACCTTGTACGGGTCAGATGTTTGGAACATTTTTTCAAATAATGTCGATTTAAAATTTATTTAGACTATGCACTGTAACTGACCTCTGCTTGATATTTTTTAAGTTATACTATTTTTTATAAAAAGCTTATACTTATATGTATACATGCCTTTAAGGGTTGACACAGTTTTTAGAACACCCTGTATACGATCAAAGTATAAAGTGGTGCATCGTGGCAAATGTGCCATGTTAAACGCTATAGTTTCCACTTGGTCGTCTTATAACAAGAACAAATAATTTGGTAGTCGGTCATTTGATCATGACGTTTAATAATGCGTTGTTAATTTGTCATTGTGGTACGTAAACATTTTAACAAACATTTATAATTTTGAAGGTTGGTTAGTAAATGCTGTGATTAGACTAAACATTGATTGGTGAAACTGGGTCTTAGTATGTTTTACACAATGTTAAGTTTTTTATTATTTAATGGAAACTCTTATGAGGGGAACTAGCGTCTAATATTATAAGTTATAACCCACCCTCATCTAAATGTTACTTTTGAATATTATAAATACGATATAAGTGTTAGACTGGGGATTCGGTTACAAGTTGTGGAGTAGTTAACATATAAGTGGAAGTGCTGCCCAAATATTTGTAACACTATGTCATAGTGGTATAGTAACCTATGAGTTGGTCCTGTAGCGACTCCGAGGCGTCCTCGTTGCCGGCGCTCACGGCCAGGAAGCGAGACTGCGCCGCGGCCAGGCGGGCCTCGCTGGTAGTGCAGGCCTCCCGCAGACGGTCGAAAGTACTCGACACCTATGAATGACAAAAAGTATGAGAAATAGGAGAGCTAACTTGTGATCCATGTCTCTAAGAGCGTACCTCCCGTAGCTGCGCCTCCTTGTCGCTGAGCGCGGCCCGGTCGTCCTCCAGTGCGCGCGCCGCGAGCTTCGCCCGAGCCTCGTGCGTGTTGAGTGCTCCCTGTGCCGCGCGCCAGTCCGCCGCACTCTTCGCCTCCGTCTTCTCGGCCGCCTGCAGCTCCGTCTCCAGCACCCTCAGTACGCTGCCGCTCTCCTATATATACACCGTTTATTAAATATTATCATAGGAGGTTATCTTATTTATTTATTTGAATGGCACATCAACAGCACATACATTAAACACTTAAAACTAAACATTTAAAACTGACACTCTTCTGATGTGTGTACCAATTATAGACGTACACAGCACTGCTGAAGATTACTTACTTATTGATTACAAAGATATTTAAAAAAAAAAAAATAATAACAAAAGAAGAAAGAATATCACAAAACAATCAAGATAAACCACTACAGCTAAATTCCACTAACAGGATTTGACAAAGCATCACAAATTTTTCGCTTAAACTCCGGCAAGGAATCGGAAAAAACATCAATATTTTGAGTTAATGCACACAGATCGTTATACTGACCACATATTCTATTTATAGGGGAATATTTAGCAATCTTATATATAATATATCACACTCTAACACTCACCTCATCCAACTTCTTACTGAGTGCGGCTACTTTCTTGTCATACTCTTTAGCTTCCTTTTCATTGTTCATTATCATTTCTTTCTTGTTTTTGATCTCGTCCTGCACCTCCGTCACCTTGTTCGCTGCTTCCTTGGCGCTTTCCTCTGCGGATACGTATCTGAAAACCGATTACATATTTATTTATTTATTAAGGCAAACACAACAGGTCACAATCACATAGAGAATATTTCTTAAACATTAATAGTATCAAACATATTATAACCTTAAGGGTGCATGCACAACATGACGGGATTGCCAATTATTACAGTTAACAAATTCCAATACAAGAGATAACTATGTATTAGTACTAAACAATAACAACAGTAGGTATATCAAGACCATAATAAAATTAAACTACATAGACTAAACAAAAAAGACACAAATAAAATATTAAAAGTGATATTCAATGAAGTTACATGAATTAAATTTACAAGAAAATAAATAAATGGTATAATAAACAAATTTTTGTTTGAATTTACAAAAAAGACAAAAGAAATTGTATAATTGTTAATAATAACAATTTTTTAAATTTACAAATTGCATTTTTAAAATAGACATTTTTTTACAATTTTTACAAAGGTTGCTTGATTTGTGTTAAAAATATCAATTTCATGATTATTATTATTAGTTATTTGTCTACTGTATATTTTACTAATATATAATGTGTACTGTATATATCCAATGAACCCACTTCCAAGCCACATAGAGCCTGGTAAGGTTCTCCAGCTCCCGCACCACCTTCTGGTACTCCTGGAACTGCGAGCGTTCGTCTTGCAGTTTCTGCAGCTTGGGAGCGATGTCCTCCCTTATAATCTACAAATAACATTCCACATATTATATGTCTCTCACTATCATAGTATTAAATGCTTGTAGTATCACGTCTATGAGGTCAATTGTCTTACATCATTCAGTTCCCTGAGCTTGGCATCTTTTTTTTCTATAGTTTTCTGTGCAGCTTGTTTTTTCGCTTCATACATTCTTGTCCCTGCTGCTTCCTCCACCATTGACAATATCTGGAAAGTAGCAATTCAGAGAGTAGTCAGAGAGTAATCAAATTAAAATAACTTGCCTTATTGTGGAAAATATGAATACTGTTAATACCTCAGGAGGCTTCATGTTGAGTACTTTAGTGATCCGACCCTGCATGATGAGGAAGTGTGGATTGTTAACGTTGAGCTGTACGGAACAGAACAGGTCACTGACCCGCTTGTTCTGAACATTGATGCCATTAATCAAGTACTTGTTCTTACCTCCCATCACCACCTGCAAATATTTAATTACATATTATAGAAATTAGATATAAAGTAGTTTCCTTTTATAATCTAAATAAATACGTATATTCTTCACATGTTTTTCTGTCTTTTGTTCATTTTGAGTATATGGTATAGCTGCACTAAAGTACTTGATACTACTAAATGTTCTCATAGCTTATGTGACTTAGCCTATTTTTATTTTACACATTTATTATAAAACTATTCTGAAGATGAAGCCAAATATTTGGATATTAAAAAGAAATATATTTTGAAAAAACATTGCCTTTGCTGTCTCAACACCAAAATTTGAATCTTATTGGGTGGCTATAAAATAATTAAAGATTATATGATTTCAAAAATTACTATACAAATATTTTACAATTTGTACATCAATTGAGCATATATTTTAAAGTTACAGTTACAAATAGTATAAGTTTTTAGACTACAACAAACTCAAATAAATACAAGGTATCCTGAAAAACATGTAAATATATTAAGTAAAATCTTAAAGTCACCCACTATAAAACTAATCACTACATATTTGACTGTCCAGTGTTTGCTAAACATTTAATAATACATCGGTAGTGAAACCTGGGTGACCATTAACAGCTATGAATTATTTAGAAGGATGAAAAACTGATGCCTTAAGAGCAGTTTCATTGAATGTCAGTCTTTTCTTCATCCCCTGTATAAATTCTACAGTATAGAACACAGATACTCTTATGAAGAAAGACAAATTAAGCATATAAATATATATTCATATCATAACAACATTAGGACTATACAATAGATTAGTTGTTACTACCTGTCTTGTTACAGTTATTTCATCATGGTTCTCATATCCGATGGGACATTGCCTCTTGTCACGATTGTCAAAGGTGATGCTCACTGTAGCCTTGGTTATACCGGCCTGACCATGCTTATAGATCAATTCTTGGAGACTTCCAGCCCTCACCTGGAACAATATATATAACTTACAGAAACATTGTCTATAATATAATAAACTATATTAGGATCATACAAATCCATTCATTATTAAAATAAAGAAATAATCTAACTTAAATGTATTATTCATGAATTGTATCCATTTATATCATATACTATACAAATTAATATATTTCTGACTTTATAATAAGTAAATACGTATTTATTAAAAATATATAATATTTTCTTGGTAAAAGGTTATAAAAAATAACATACAATTAGATATTACTTTTTACACTAAACCATGAGGAGTCTCTTACAAAATTTCCTTTTTTTTCGGGAGCAGTAACATTACGGCTATTTTATAAAAATAAATTTACTTACATTAGAAAGATTGGTAATGCCTAGAACAAAACATATTGAATCTAAGATATTGGACTTTCCGGTCCCGTTTAATCCTGTGATAGCATTAAACTCAGGATCAAATCCGCTCACTTCCACTCGATTCCCGTAGGACTTAAAGCCATCGAGTACGATAGACTTTATATACATCTTGAGTGTATAAGAGATCAGAATTTAATAATGAAAATGATACGAAAACATCACAAATCATTAACAATAGTTTTCATTGCTTTGAAGCGGGAACAATCAACCGTTGGGGTGTTTGAAGTTTGACATTAGTAATTGACACACTGTTGCTATCCATACATTTTTTATTTCTTTTCCATTTCGTATATAGACTTTTAACATTAACAAATCCCTAGATATATTTAAGTTACTATTTGTAATAATTATATAAATTTCACACAAGTAAAATATTTTATAAATAAAAAGTAAGGATCCGACCGAAGATTGAAATAATTTAATTTTTTTATATTTGTTAAGTATATTTTATGTTTTATAACTCAAGTTCAAAACTAAGCCCTCGATGTAAAGACACTGATGACTATTTTAAGTTTCTTTTGTGGTGGTTAAGGCTATTCTCAATACGTAATTTTTATTTTATTTTATTTTATTTAATAGGAAGCCAACGTAGTACACAAAAACTTATAACTACATTATAACATCAGGGAACTTAATTTTACAGTTGCTTATCATCACTTACAGGTTAACTCAACATGGATTACATAATGTTTAGATCTTACTCCAAAACTTACTAGATACAATAAAAAAAATGGCGGAAAAAAAGAAAAAAAAAATGTATATAACAACAAAGAAACACAGGTCCAGCCTATCTCTGCGATCTACTAAAGAAAGTGCATTATAGTTAGCAAGTATAATATATAGTCTTGTAATTTTCGTTCTGTAAATTATTTTTATCAATAAAGCATAAGATTTAATATTCCTCTTTACCTATATTTTTTGAACTTCCAACGACTGAGTCCGTCAAATGTAGTCTTCACTGTCACCCGTCAAGTCACAGTTGTCAGGTGGAAGTATATTACTGATTTTTATGAAAACGCGGGTGAAGAAGCAGCGGCGTTAAAAAGTTCATTGTAAATCAATATTTAAACTTTAATAAGCATGGAGTTTAACAGCACAGGAGGAATGAGGAGTCCTTTTTCTCCTCGAGTAAGACAATCTATCTCGGGGCGAAGACCTATTGGAATGGGTTCGGCAAAGAAAAATAGGTAAAAAATCTAATCCATACAATTTAAATTCATTATTATCTTACAAATAACAGGCATTTATTAGTAGATTTGGTCATTATTTAATTATTATTAGTCTTTATATTCTATTATTTTATTTCTAGCAAGTTCATGCAACAATCAGAGCAACAAACCGGCGAAATTGTATATAAAACTCCCTTCACAAGTCTGGAAACATACGGAACACCACTTCCAGTGATGGTTACAGAAACTCTTACCTTTCGTAAGTATTTCTTGAACATAATATAGCATTTTCATGTCTTTCTTTTGCCATAATTGAATCACTCAAGTAGTATATATCCATTATTTGTATTTAAATCTTTGTTGAGTTTTTTCTTATAGCATTTCTTTTTTTTGTGCATAAGGGCATTTTGTTTTTAAGTAAAATAGCACTATTGTTGTATTTTTTCTCTACTGTAATTGTTTGTTGTGTCATTCAATTCTGTTGTAGCATCTAGTGAGGTGAGTGTCCGTCTGTCCTCGTGTGGTTGGTGCTGGGCCGTCTGCGGCCGTAAAGTGTTAGCTTGGCCCTGGGACACCTCACTCCCCGCAGCCACCGCTCGTGACCTCACACTGCCTCAGACAGACCTGGCTCACAAAGCTGATTTAGTAGTTCTGTTCTATGAGAATGATGCACAGGTTGGGATAATATATATGAAAGCAACTTAATAATTATGCTATAGGTTTTGAATTTAGGTTCAAAATAAAATTGTTACATCAGAAAGTTAATGTGAAAATAGAATTTAAGAAACTAGCATTAATTTGATGATATTTGTAGTTGTATCATTAATATTGTAGAAACTCAATTAACCAGACTAATTGTTGTCGATAGGCATTCGGATAAATGAAAATCTGGATAATCGAATGTATGAAGAGAAGTCAGTTTTGGGCATATGTAGTACATAATATTATATGTTTGTTTAAAAAAAGTAAGAAATACATAATAATGAAAATCAATGTTTATTAAAAATAATTAAAGGATACATTTTCTTACATTACATATATACAGATACATATATCTACTAAAAACTGCAGATTTAATCATTAAATAAATGACAATATGTGATTGGTAATTTGCAATTAATAAATTTAATTTGGTTTAGAATATTTGGTAATTGTCATTTGACGTACGCCACTCTCAACAACACCACACTCTTACACTTTGACATTTTCTCTTGTCCCGACTTATCCGTTGTCCGGATAATCGCGAATCCGTATAACTGAGGGCCGGATAACAGGCTTCAAGGTGTACTTATGATTGATCACAGTTATAATAGTTGAATTGTCATTTGAAGATTTACAGATAGATACTGTCTAAAACTAGTGATCTATAATTCATTAGTATGTTGTTTATGTTTAGAGGTCTCATTATAGAATGTGTGTTATGTGTTTCAGTTGCCGTCGTGTATAGGTGTGTCTCCGGAGGGTGTGGTCCGCTACTGGTCCAGCGTGGGTGCGGAGGGTGCGTCGTGTGACGTGTCTTGTGAGCTGGCCGGCCAGGAGTGTGACCGCCTCATACAAGCCAAGGATGGACTGCTGCTGGCAACCACCACATGCACTCTCGTCAGAATCACTACCACTAAAGGTTAGCGGGTACTTTATTGTAAAATGTGAAATGATATTCCCCAAGCTGTTATCTTCTGTGTAGGTGCCATAATTTTCTATAAGTTTATTAATTAGTTACTAAAGACCTGCCACAATCAACTTTAATTTATTTTACAATATCTGGTTACCGAGCTTTGCTCGGTATTTAGGAATTTTTAGTATTTATTTTTGTGTTTTTTTATTTCGTTGAGGTATTTTTAAGTGAACATGTTAAGAAGATACAAAACAATATAAATCGACAATTAATTTTCGACAAACAATTTCGTAGCCTAAACAAACACTCATTGACTTCCTGTTACTTAACAATGCCATCTGCTGTTGTGTCGTTAAAGCAATCAGTAAAAGAAATTAGCAAAAAGTAGTATTACTACTCACCGAAAGATGTCAGGAAGAGTCATATTTTAGACGACTCCTTTTTGTTATTTTTTTAAAATAAAATAAATTTTTCAACTCCTAGCTAGATCGATTTATCGCCCCCGAAATCCCCTGTATCCTAAATGTCATGAGAATCGTTGGATCCAATTCCGAGATTCCACTTATATAAATATATATACAAGAATTGCTCCTTGAGAGATATAACATATAAGATAAGATATTTGGTTTCTATATATTAAAATGAAAAAAATGTGCATTTCATTATTATTCTTTCTTACTTCTTATAGGTCCCAATATTCTTTCCGCCTGTGAGTGTTGGAACATAATGTATCCTCGTATGTTTCAGAGGCTCGTCCGTCTGTTGTGTGTCAAACTCTCCGTCCCCCGAGCGGCTGGTTGGGAGGTCTGGGTCGACGGGTGTCCGTACTGTTCTTCGGCTCTATGCCGGCTAACCATGATACGGTACGAACCTCTCGACGAGTTAGACAAACACGCCTGGAGCAATCCTACTAATATTATAATTGCGAAAGTTTGTGAGTGTGTGTGTATGTTTGTTACTTCTTCACGCTCAAGCGGCTGAACCGATTTTGATAAAATTTTGTAGACAGGAAGCTGACGTCCAGGAATAACACATAGGCTACTTGACATTCCGGAAATCCGCGGGTAACACCGCGGGGCGCAGCTAGTAATATTGATAAAAGGATTTCCTCAGAAACTGGTGAAGGTGGTCCTGCTGAGCAGTCCCCGCGCGGACGAGCAGGTCACGGACAAGGAGTGTGTGGCGCTGGTGGCGGGCGGGCCGGTAGTGCAGCTGTGGGAGGACGGGGACGTGCGGGAGGTCGCGCTCAGGAGACCGCTGTGTGACGCGCTGGCACGGACACACCTCGCGCCCGCCGGTCAGACACATACTGATGTTATGACACTAGTTGGGAGAGTGTTACCTATGTAACCTATGTATGTATGTGGTGTGTCCAGGCGAGCTGAGCGGGCTGGAGGTGTGTGCGCTGGACGCGGAGCCTCACCCGGCCGGCGGGCTGCTGCTGCTGCTGCTGCTGACGGTGGCCGCGCCTCGCGCTCCCGACGCTAGATATGCCCTCGGTACAGTTTATACTACATATTATACTCCGACCACATTCGATCTGGAATTTTAGTAAACAAAACCATGAGTCATCATAATTAGGGTTGATACACTCTTAATAAAATAATAATTATTATAATTACAACTACATATATTCATTAAAACACAATTTACTGTTTAAACACAACATTTTTTATTTAAAATATTATTTAGCCAGTCAATACATATGTAATTTATATGAATATTAGCTTAAAATAAAAGTGTAAAAATCTTTATTTACCACTATAATATTACTACAAAACTAACAACCCTATATTTTAATACTGACGTAAAGAAATCGCAGGTTTGTAACATTTGGAGTGTTTTTTAAGCAATTGGCAAATATACACAAAATTTTATCTAAATGAGTCCTGTCGTTTGGGAGGCCATAGACAAAGTTAATAAAGCGAATTATATAACTACGAGGTAATTCCTGATATCATTTTAAAATTGGAGGTATTAGTTTTGAGATCTACATTATTCCAAATGATCATAAGCATTATAATTATAACCAAGAATGCGCTTAGTCCTTTGTCTTAAATATTTTATTATTAATCATCAATTTTAATTTTCATTAACATCAAAAATAATTGTTTTAAATATTTCTAAAAATGTTTTGAGCATCTGCCTGACGTTGGTTGCTAAGCAACGCTTTTTAAACATTCCACATTGAATTTGGCTGAAGTATAGGAATATTTCTATATAATATCTGTGTATAGAATTTTTCCACATCTTCCAGAGAATCGGTTCTACGAATTCCTCTAGTATAATTTTGATTTTGCTAAGTTAATCATAACTATTTCGTTGTAATAATAAGGCTCATACCAAATTCTTTTTAGAATATTTTCCTCCCTATTTTATCATTTTCTCTACTTGCATATGATACAAACAACACCAAATTATAATGGACAGTGTAGTTATACTTATGTTTTCTCCTACAAAATTTCGTATTGTTAGTATCTCCCCCTGCTTTATATTTCAGCCCACGTGTCCCTGGAGTCTGAGGATCGTGTCCGTGTGTTGTCCGCGTGGTGTGTGAGGGGCGCACGCTCCGAGACTCCGCCCCGCTGCCTGCCGCTGCAGCCCCCGCTGGTCTACAACAGCGACGCCATCATCGGAGTCGCTCGTACGAATCACACTGCACTCAGCCTTAGCCCGGGTTCACACCGTCACACTACATACGGAGCTTTTATAATGGGTCACTCATAAACCTACGTCGATACTTTCGTGAGTGAGTGAGTGAAGGTTTACGAGTAAAAAACTGAAAACGTAGTGTGACGATGTGAACTTGTCACTTAAAGTACATTATATGTGATATAACTAGAACTAATTAATAAATGGTTCACAAGACGTCGTCCTCTCTGTAACTTGTATGTTATTATTGTTTGTAAACTCATCACCTGATAGGAGTATATTAATCTAGTAATATATATTACTATTCCAGCGTCGGTCAAGGATCAGCCGGACGTGTTGGAGGTGTCGTCGGAGGGCGACTCCATCCTGGTGGCGTGCCAGGCGGGGGGCCGCGCGCTCGTGTTCACCAGGAGACACGGGGTGCTGCTGCTGAGGACCGCCGACCACGCCGGACAACAACATGCACCGTGAGTGACGCGCTGTGACGTCTTACATACTTGTATATATACTAGAAGACCCGGCGAACTTCGTATCGCGCTATAATCAAGAAATATCTGTTACGTCTTTTTATTTGTATTTTTGGAGTTTACCTATTAAAGCCATAAAAATTCCGTGTTTTGAAGTGCGACAGAATGATTGACATATTAGTTAGTTTTTTTTTAATGGGAAAAGGGGGCAACCGAGCAGACGGCCTACTTGATGGTAGGTAGTTACCGTCGCCCATAAACATCCGCAACGTAGATTTTGCGGATGTGTTGCCGCCCTTCATTGGGGAAATGGGGGACGAAAAGGTGGGAAAGGGAGGAAAAGAAAAGGGTGGGAAACGGGAAAGGGCAACCGGCTCTCCCACTCACCGGACGAAACGCAGTCTTGTAAAGACTACTTTACGCCGATTTTCTGCGAGAGGGTGGTACTTCCCCGGTCGAGCCAGCCCATGTTCGAGCTGTAGTAACTGACCACAGCTAGGCTCTACCACCTCTGTAAATTGTTGTCAAATCTAATGTAAAAAAAAAACTTTTCTATCAACAACTACTAATAAATTAAAAATTAATAAAAAAAACATTGTCCAGCGGACAAAATTGTGAATCTAAACCATTCCCGGATCCCCTTGAACACACACAAAAATTTCATCAAAATCGGTCCAGTCGTTTGAGAGAAGTTCAGTGACATACACTCTCACAGAAGAGTTATATATATAAAGATATATAATGTACATAGTTGTATTAATTATTCTTCTGCTCCACCTCGCCGCAGGTCCCTGTGCGACACTCCGCTCGGCTCACCGTGTCCCTCGGACGTGCTGGACGGGAACTTGACGCTGTACGAGATCGATCCGAACGAGGTACGACACACACACACACACACACACACACACACACGCACACACACATACACATAGACATAGAGAGTTACCATACTACAGGCACATTATGAAGATATAATTTTTATTTTATTTTTTTATTTTATTTTATTTTAGGGAAACAAACAATAAGATAAACTTATAGGATATGAATATATAAAATTACATATATCAGCTAAGTTTCCAACGAGTTAATGACTCACTATATTCATTAATATTTTGTATTTCTAATATCTTATATTCAAACAAATCGTAATCCCTTAGATTTTATATTATTTAAATGAAACTAATGTTTTCGGATTTTACTTCGCGTTTTTATTTTTGATTATAAACTACATAGTCCCGACGTTTTGGCTACTTTTCAGCAATCGTAATCACGGGCAGACGAGATGTAAAAAATTTTTTTTATTTTCTTTAACAAATTTGCACTTAAATATAAATTTATTGGAGTCTCCTTTTAAGCATATGAAATGCCTGTGCCAGGAAACTCCGTTGTTCCATATCACGAATTAGGTACAAGTATACAAGATGTTTAAGGTACAACAATAATAAAGAAACAATATTAAAAAGTAATAATAAGAGAAGTAATTACCAAAAAGGAAGCAAATGTGGGATTAAAATGTATGTGTATGCATGTGTGCGCGTGCGCATTTGTGTGTGTGTGTGTTGTATGTGTATGTTGGTGTATGTAGGATATGAATGCTAGTTCCTATAATCTAAAAAAAAAATCCGTTTCTTGAAAACTTACAGATTTTATTATTTAATTTTACACTCTTTTCAAGGTTTTGAATATATATATATATATCAACGTAAATTGACCAGGTGAGTAATAACTGAGATAATTTCGTTTTTTACATATCTAAAATAACTTGAAGAAATGTTATCCCAACCAAGAGCACTATTTAATTTCAGATTTTTAATTATGGTATCTACGTCTTTATGGTCAGTATTCAATAAAACGAGAGATTGAGATTGACTTGGTAGACTCTGTAGGTAGCGATTCAAGTCATTTTGAGTTACAGTTGGTTCAATTTCCCGGGCAAGATGTTTACCAATATTTGAGAAATGATTATTTATATAGTTAGCAGATTCAAGTGGGGAAGGCTTTAGGTATTTGAGTTCGAAGTCGAGTCGTCTTGATTTAGTGGAATATGTTATTATATTATGCCAGAGTAATTTATTGTTCTTTAAAGATCCCATGAGTAATTGTCGTTCATATTTTCTTTTTAATTTCTTTATAAGATTGTTACAGTGATTTCTGTATCGTGTGTATGAGATTTTTTTAAATTTCATTACAAGGGTCGTTACGAAATTGGTTTTGAAGCTTATTTCGATCCCTGATGCGTCTAAGTATTCCTTCTGTAATCCAGGGTTTCATAATGCGGTTTTTTTTAGTGCGTTTTATTATTTTTGTATTGTAGTTAAGTGAATCCATTAGTTGTTGTAAAAGATAATCAGTAATTTTGTTTGGATCATTACTTAACAGTAATTGTTCTAGATGTTTTTCTTGTAGATATTTTAGAGCTCCGTCGAAGTCAATAATAGTTTTTGTTTTTTGTGCGTCATGCCTGGTTATATTTTTGTAGATACATAGTAAGACAGTGTAATGATCGGTAACAGACGTCTGTAGTACAGCTACGAAAGAAGAGCTTTTAGCCCTTTTTATTTTTAACATAAAAAGGTCAAGGCAACTTTCATTTCTTGTAGGCATGACGTGACCTGCTGAAATACCATGGGCTGATAGCGCATCTTGATAATTTATCCTATTGTGACGTTCGTACGACTGTTCAGCAGGTTTCGGTATTAGATTAATATTAATATCTCCAGTTATGATTATGTGTTTTTGTGAATTTAAAGTGTAAAGGTGTTCGTTTAGAGAATCAATAAAACTTTCCGCATTACTATTGGACGGAGAGCGATATATACAATATATATAATTCAAAATGTCTAATTGTAAACATGAGGCTTGGTTTAATTTTATTTCTTTGACATTATATTGAAGAGTATTTCTACGAAGACAACAACATCGTCATTCTGATTTAAGTTGTATGTAGTAGCGTGCGATGCGTAGTTATTGAGTGTAGGTATAGCTTTGTCTTGATTTATTCGACATTCTGTCAAAACTACATATAACATCCGGTGTAAAAGTAAGACTAGATAACGTTAGTACAAAGCTATCGAAATTACTATAAATGCTTCTAATATTTTGTGAAATTATAGTAAAGTCGTTATTATTTATTATATAATGATTATTAAGTTCTGTCTGATTACAGAAAGCAGTACGGGAGATACTTAATTTGTCAATTTCATTTATATTTTCTATTAAATCATTCATTTTGTTATAGTATAAGAACTGGTTGCAAATTTAAACGAAGTTGTATATCTTAGTAAATTAAAATTATAATCATATATGTAAAGTGTTACTTTATTTTTTATTTAATTCCTCTGTTTATCTTTTTAATAGGCATCGCGAATCATATTTGTAATTATAATTACGAGAAAGAGAACAAAATTCATAGTAGGAAATATTTTTTTAGAGTGCAGTAGGTAATAAGTGTGGGCAAGTGGTCTATGATATGTAGGTGACTGACGTGTTGAAGTGTGTGTAGTGTTATGGTGTGTAAATATATAATATTAATTAAATTTTGAATATAATTTGTTTGTGTGTAAGATGGTAATTTTGTCGTAAACAATCTTTTAGAACAATATATTTGACATATGTATAAACAAGGAACTTCTAAAAATCCTAACATATAAAATTTAAAAAACAAATCAAACTTAAAATATAAATTCAAATAAAAATATGAGAACACAAGTAACTCTAAATAAAAATATAAGAAAACAAAATCTAGTCATTTGTTTGTTGCTATTAATTGTTGTACCTGGGCTTTATTAGTGATATGTATTGACTAAAAGCGAGTTATCTAGTTTTCTCACATATACCTCACCATGTGCAGTCCAGCAGAACTTATAACCCTTGGGTTTCGATAGGTCTCGTGCAAGATAATAAAGACGAGACGCGCGGGGAGTTAAGTGCTCCGTTAAGAAGATAGGCGTATCTTCCGCAGTAAGAAAGCCGAGATGCTTTGCACAGAGCTAATAGAGCTACGTGAGCGAAGTAAAATCCGAAAATATTAGTTTCATTTAAATGAGTACTCGCTTAAATCTTAGATCTCATTATTTTATAATATTGTTTCTTTTTACGAACTGTTTCTTCAATAAACGAAAGAAAACTCTGTAAAAACTGGCACTGTCAGTGAAAAAATGAATGTACGTCGTTTCTGTCACACTTATTTTGAATGGATAATGTTCCAGGTGGTGGCCATAAGCGGTGACGCGGTGGGCAAGTTGAAGAGCGCGTTCCTGTACCACGTGCGAGGGCAGCAGGCGTCCGCCGCCGGGCTGGTCGCCGAGCTGGCCGGGAGACTCGACCCCGCCGCCACCGACCGACCGCTGGACCGGACCGTGCTCAGCGTGCTGCGGGAGATGATGGACGACGCGCCCGCCGGGGACCCGAGGTACGGACACACTCACACACTCACACACACTCACACACACACACACACACACACACACACACACACATACACACACTGACACACTGACGCACTGACGACTTAAGTGATGATAACCGATGTTGTGTTGACGGCAGGTGGAAGCTCCCCAGCGGCGCGGCGACCCGCGTGTCCCTGGGCAGCTCGTTCTCGCTCCAAGCGGCCGCCCAGCTACACGACAAACAGAAGGTCTACAACATGTTCTTAGAATTCCTGAGGAGCCGCGGACTGTGGCGCCGCCTGGGGACCGTCACCAGGGGTGAGTCAATAAAACTCACGTGTCTCGTACAAACGGTTTATTGCGGACAAAGAGAAATCAAAAAATACATCGTCATCGTCGATACGGTGACCCGCGTAAAAACCAAATCTACACACGACTTTTTATATTAACGGGCGTTGACATGCCGCCTCCCAAGAACGCAAGTTCTTAAGGAGCATATACATGAAACAAAATTTACGCATTTTATTTTTACAATATTAACAATTTTTCCCTTTTACAACATTATTGTTTACATTTCATCATAATATTGCAGTAACTGCTCATTACATTTATCTTAACATTTTTAATAAATAACCATAACTGACAATTTAAATATAATTTTACATTACAAACTTCATCACATATTGTTATGTAGCGTAATAACAAAGGTATAATTATTATTATCAACAATATCTTAAAATAATAAATAATAAAATGAAATAAATAAATGTATATGTTTACTGTATATAATTATAAACATATGATAAGATATAAATTCATAATGATATTAAATTAATTAATTTTATAAAAAAAATCCTAATTAAATACACATTCAATTCAATTTATTTATTGAATCAATCTATGTTATTAAACCAATAACAAAGAGATTTTTATTATGAAATGAAAATTCTATAGGTAAAAAAAATTAAATTAAATTATTGATTTCAATCATGACTTAGTAATGTTTGTTATATATTCATTACACACTCAATACAATTTCATTCGGATAACGTCAACAATCATTATAATTATGCAATTTAAAATTTAACACAATAATATGAACAAAAAAAAAACAATTGTTTTAATTGACAAAATGTACTGCATTGTGAAATATATGTAAAGAAGTTTTAGTGAAATTAGTCTGCAATCGGTAAAATTAATAATTTAGAAATTGCTCGTTTAATCAAATTACTTTTACACCGAATCGTTACCACACTAGTTATGTTATCAGGGCCGGAATGCTTTGCTTCTATTCTACCATATAACCATTTTGGTGGAGGAAGATTGTCTTCTTTAACAAGTACAATGTCACCAATATTTGGTTCTGGTGATACTTTTGCCCATTTGTATCGCAGATTAAGTTGCGTAATGTATTCTGATGACTATCGTCTCCAGAAATCCTGCACCATGCGTTAAGTCAATTGAACGTTTTAATGTACTAATAGTTGACATTTCAAAGTTGTAATCTGGAGGTATAACCAATGGACCACCCACCAAAAAATGTCCTGGTGTTAGTGGCATTTCCGATTCTGGGTCATCTACACTTTGACGTGCAATAGGTCTTGAGTTAAGGCATGCTTCAATTTGACATAGAACCGTAGTCAACTCTTCAAAGGTGAGCGTGGAATTACCGACGACTCTTTTTAAGTGGTATTTGGTTGACTTGATGCCCGCCTCCCATAATCCACCGAAATGAGGTGCATGTGGAGGAATAAATTGCCAAGATGTTCCATTGTTAGATAAACTCTCTGATATATCGGGCATCAAATTGGAATTTTTTTTGGAGAATAAAGTTTACAATACCTTAGAAGCACCTACAAAATTGGTTCCATTATCACTCCAAACTTGACCACAGTGACCTCTTCTAGCTACGAATCGTTTAAATGCTGCTAAAAAACCTTGAGATGTAAAATCACTATCGACCTCAAGATGCACTGCACGCGTAGCCATACATACAAACACACAATCATATCCCTTGTGGGAATGGTGGCCACGGCCCTTGGTTGTTCTTATTTGTAGGGGTCCTGCATAATCCACTCCACTAACAAAAAATGGACGATTATCAGAGATGCGTGCTGTAATTGACCCATAAATTTTTCATGAGTAGAAGCTCTAAAACGTGCACAAATGACACATTTCCTATACTGTTCCTTGACTAAATTGTTTATACCAATAATCCAATATTTTCCTCTGAGGAAGTTGGTCATCATTTGTGGTCCTCCGTGTAATGTTTTTTCATGTGCATCTGCAACAATTAACTTCGTAAAATGACCACTTCTTGGTATGATGATTGGATGTTTGACCTCACCACTGACATTCTAATTGTCTATTCGACCCCGGAGTCTCAATAATCCATTTTCATCTACAAATGGGGTAAGTGAATATCCTTTTAGGCATTACTTTCATTTTATTAAAATATAAAATATCTTCGGCAAATTCCTGTCGTTGACGTTGTTTTATACATGTCATTAATGCAACTTTTAATTCTTCACATGTTAACAAATAAGTGAGGTCGAAGTTCTATAGATTTCTCGAAATGTAAGAAGGGCCTACAATACGCAATTACTCGAATCATTCTTTTTAATCGCGAAAATCTTTCACAAAGTGATTGAAACGTTTTATTTATATTAATACAATAACCTTTAATTTTCCTTTCTTCTAAATTAGTTCCGACATCTGGTTTGTCATAGTGTACAATATCATTACAAAGCCAACTGGGTCCGTTCATCCATAAACTATTGGTTTGTAAGTCACTAGGAGTCATCCCACGTGACGCGATGTCTGCTGGGTTTTCATCAGACTTAACATGTGACCATTGATTACTTTCAAGTGTTGTCAATATATCTGATACTCTATTCGCTACAAAAGTTTTCCATCGACTAGGGTGGCCACGCAGCCATGCCAGCACTATTGTCGAATCGGTCCACGCATGTATATTGGATGGTTCTATGGTTCAGAAGAGACGTGATGTGCCTTATGTTGATTATAATTATTTGATTTAAATTTACTTGTAGTAGGTTCCAAGAATTCCAATGCTCTAAAACGACTTATTAAAAATTCTTCGAATTGAGAAAAGGTAGGTAAATCATCGGTTAACTCATTTGATTTTATTTCCCATTGTTTTCGGGTATCAGAATCTAACTTTTGACAAACTAAATAAGTAACACATCCCATGAATCGATACAGATACCAATATTAGACAATGCATTTAAACTATCTTTCGTTGTGTCTAAAAGGTTCTTTATACCATTGGCCGATTGCATGGTTAAATTATTTTGCGAAAATAAACGTTTAAAAATACAATTAGCTAAGATTTTTTTATTATTATATCGCTCTTGTAATTGTGACCAACACGTAATATAATTAGCATCAGTAATAGAAATATGTCGTAACAGCTGTTCGGCTTCTCCCGATAAATAAATTTTTAAATAATGCAATTTTTGAACATTACCTAATTGCTTATTATTATGAATAACTGATATAAATAAATCCTTAAACGTCGGCCATTCCATGTACTTACCAGAAAAAACGGGTATTTTAATATCCGGTAATTTTATAGGAATAGGATAACCGTCATTTTTAGCTATAGTCGATAATTCCGATTTTTCTGATAAGTTAACACTTTTAACTTTTAATAAATAATCTTTAAGTGCACATTTATATGCAGTATACGCTTCCTCAATTAACTCATTCATACTAAAATAATCACACTTCTTAGATTCCAGGGTAGTTATGTCAATTATTTGCTTATGAGTGACCTTAACCTCACTCCAAATATCATTTAATATTTTAAGTCTAGTTTCTATATAGGATTGCGTAATTCTTGACTTTGGTGACTTTTTAAAGTTTGCCAAATTTATTTGTATTTGACCCTGATGATCTTTTTGCTAGTTAATAAATTTTTCCATATTTATTGTTATAATAAAGTTCGTTTGTACAATTAATTAAATTTTCCAATTTATTATTAAATTGTACTATTCAAATAAATTATTATACTAAATAATTGTTAATTAACATCACTCAGTTCACTAAATGTTTTTATAAAAACGTTACAATTTTTTATAAAGTTCAAATTATCATTTATTTTTCACCTTACTTCACGTTCACTTTTATATAAATAAACTCAGTACCTCGGGTTATAAACTTTCCTTATCTCGAAATGCTCGCAGCCAGCAGTAACTTCTTGAACTAGCAAAGCTTGGTTTTCAAATGACGACTAGAGGCACTCAGCTGACACAGGCTGACACCCAGCACCCAGCATACAGCAAGCAGCACCAGCGACCCGGCCTCAGCACTCTTGACTTGATTTCTTTTTTAATTTTGTCAGGTCTTGGTTCCTGAACAACTTTTGGTTGGTCACACAGGAACTACTCATTCTTATTGAGTGGTAGATTTATGAATTCTTCGTTTTAATAGCCGTTTTGCTTATATCTGTATGTTATTTCCTTTATATTCTTTTCATTTTTCATTATTTGATTAATTTATTTTCAACTAATCTGTTATTTATCCGGCTCGAAGGGCCATGAATAAAACTCACGTGTTTCGTACAAAGGTTTATTACAGACAAAGAGAAATCAAAAAATACATCGTCGATACGGTGACCCGCGTGAAAACCAAATAAAAAAATGCGTATAAACCAGCGAGTAATAAACGCTCCCCCGCAGAGAACGGCGAAGGCGTGTCCAGCACACAGCACGAGGTGTGCGCGCTGGGCGAGCGGCTGGCGGCGGCCCGCGCGCTGCAGAGGCTGCACCAGGCGGGCGCGCCCCTGGTGGACGCGGCGCTGCACCATGTGACGGCCGGCCTGGAACGAGCGCCCGGCCTCGAAGACGAGCCAGTACTGGAGGCTCTCCGGGCCGGCGCGCTGTCCGCGGCCGACGTGTGCTGGCGCCGCGTGTCCCGCGTGCTGCGCGTGCTGACCGCGCTGTGCTCCCTGCCGCCGCCGCCGCACGACGCCCGCGCCGCCGCCTCACACGCGCACCACGCGCTGGTCGCCGTCAACGTGAGTCCCCGCCCCCCCGCCTCCACCTACCGCGCTTCTCCGCTTCTCCGCTCACCCTCACCCCTCGTGTCTATGTTCCAGTCGGTGGTGAGCGCGATGCAGGCGTACCGTTCTCAGTGTGACGCCGCCCCTCCCCGCGCCGCTCCGTCCCTCGCGCCGCACGCCCTGCTGCCATCCCTGTGTTCGCTGCACACCCGCGCCGTCACGTGAGTACCCCCCCCTCCCCCCCTCCTCTCGTCTGCCCCCCGCTGACCTCTCGTCTCCCTCAGTGAGTGTGCCCGCAAGTGTCCGGACGCGTCGCTCCGTTCCCAGCTGCTGGAGGAGGCGTCGTCCCTGGCCCGCTTCATCCTGCTGGAGGCCGAGCCCCTGTCCGAGGGTCGCACGGCGCACCTGTACGAGAAGATACGCTCCGACACCATACAGCCATACCGTCAGTGATATATCACTTATATACTGATTTTAAAAATAGATCATGACATATGTATTAATAATGTAATATCTGGTTACCGTTTAGACATTTTTAAGTGAACACGTTAAGAAGACACAAAACAATATAAGGGTTAATATACGCTACTTGGTTTATGGTGAATATACGTGTCCCAGAAGGAAATGTTATCGGTTCCATTCAATATTTATAATTTATTTATTTGACACTATTTTAAAATTAGTACTCACAGGGACCAGACGATTATTATTATTTTTTTCAGTTTTATAAGCACCAAAGTGAAATGTATTACCAGAAGAGTGATACTGTTGCCAGAGTAGTAACAAATCAAAGCAGGGTATTGTCATACCATTGATTATTAGCTACGAAAGTTGATTAATATTAAATAAAACGTCTATTTACGTCTATTCAACAAAAAAAAATTTCACTCGTCTGGCTATCATGTATGTAATATGCCAGCGTAGCGTATAGCGTATTAAAATTAACATCACTCGCTTTTCTTACATCAATTTAATATATAACATCTACAGACAATGAACATTGATTATAGAAATTAACAATTTCGTAATGATAAAATACATACATATATATGTTTACTAAAGGAAATACTACAACGACTGGCACAAAATTACTTTCCGAAAGTTTATCGAAAACTCTAATTTCAAACTGTTTTTCGCCCGTTCTTTAAGACCAAAAGGACAAAGTTATGATTTTTATTAAATTTTTAAGTCTGAATTCCGCCAGATGAAGTGACAGAATTGTAACATGACTCGAAAATAAGTGACATTATTTTATATTAATAAATATTTTTACTCTTCATTTTGTTAAAATATGTTTCGATGTTTATTAAAGCGTTATGACCTTAAATAAAAAACATAATTTGTGTACTTTTTGAAAGTATTCAGGCATAAGTTCTTTTTAATTCATAAATGGGAAGGCCAGAGGAGATTACATACTATTTAAAATATTATGAAAAATATAAATTAAATAATTATCGTGAAAGTCTTTGTGGGCCAGATAAAATGCCATATTCTTTATTGTTTAAGCATGGAGAGATAATGATATAATAAGTTTTACATAAAATTTGTCTATAGACCAATGGAATTCAAATAGCGTATATTCACCCATAAATCACTAATTAATTTCTTAGTCTAACCTCAAAACAAACACTCATTGACTTCCTGTTACTTAACAACGTCACCTGCTGTTGTGTCGTTAAAACAATTATTAAAAGCAATTAGCAAACAGTAGTATTACTATTTGCCAATAGATGTCAGGAAGAGTCGTATTTTAAACGACTCCTTTTTGAATTTTTTTATAAAATAACATTTTCTAAAACTGATTCCTAGCTAGATCGATTTATCGCCCTCGAAATTTCATAAAAAAAGTTGGAGCGGATTCCGAGATTCCAATAAATATGTATATATACAAGAATTGCTCGTTTAAATATATATGTTTGTAATAGTCGCGGAGGGCCAGACGGAGCGAGCCGCGGTGTTGGCGGAGAAGTTCAAGGACTTCGAGCTGCTGATACAGATGTGTGTGGACAGACACGACCTGGAGAAACTGGACGCGTACATGGAGCAGTACGAGGAAGAGGTCGGCGGACGGGAGACAACGTTTGTTGTGTTTTAACTTAGTTACTGAGGTATATCGTGTATGTTCAGGGTTTCCCGGAGAAGACGTTCGCGTGGCTGGCGTCCCGCGGGGGCCGTATGTGTGCGCTGCTGGTGAGGTCGGTGGGGGCGCGCGTCCCTCGGCGCCTGGAGTCCTGGCTGTCCGCGGCGCCCGACCGCCTCGCGCTGCGGACCCTGCACGCGCTGGCCCAGGGGGAGCTCGACCTCGCCACGGAGCTGTTCGCGGAGCTCGCGGATAACGAAAACGTTTACGTCAACAGGATGGCGGTGAGCGGGATAGGGATAGCTCGGATAACTCGTGTATTGAGTGAGACTCAACACAGTCTGTTTCAGACGGCGGCCTCGTTGTCCAAGCTGTGTTCACTGGCGGGCGGGTCGCAGCAGGCGGCCGGCCGCGTGTGTCGAGCGTTCAGCGTGGTCCGACAACACCGCGCGCTGCCCGCCGCCATTAGCCGCAGATACGCGCTCGACCAACACGAACCCAAACTGTTCGCTCCCGAGGAACTCATACAGGTGACAAGACATATACAGTGACGCTACACTACATTCCAGAAACGATATTGATATTTTAGAAGAGAAGTTATTAAATAATTCACTTTTGTTACTTATAGTATGAAAGGCGCGCCTCGCTGAATGTTCTCTGTTATTTCATGACACTCTCTGTACTCTAATTCCTTCATTCTCTCCTCGTGATGATCCCGTTCTTTGTTTCCAGATGTACATCGAGTGTGAGAGTCGCTCGCTGACGGAGTACGACTACAAGAAGGCGCTCGACCTGACGGAGCTCGTCACCGACCCCGAGCGGAGAGACGACCTGCGACTCAAGGTTGAGGAGGACTCTAGAAATACTTTAATGAACTATATGTGGAATTAGTAACCATTAATGAGTGTGAAATAACGTTATATTTTTGTGTCGGTTCAGGTGTGGTGCGCGTGTATCCGGACGGACGACTGGTCGCGGGCCCGCGTGGACGCGCCCGAGCTGGAGATGAAGGACAAGATGTTCTTCAGACTCCTCGACCTCGTGCACCTCATGGGTGAGCACCAACCTCACACATACACTGTACTCGCCGCTTGGACATAGACATAACTACCCATAGTCTGTGACACGACAAACTTCATATATAAAAAAAATTATCCTCGGATCTAAAGGTGGTAGAGCCTCGCTGGAGTCATGTAACTATACTCCAGCCACATTCGATCTGGAATTTTAGTAAACAAACCATGAGTCATCATAATTAGAGTTGATACACTCGTAATAAAAAATAATAATTATTATAATTTCAACTAGGTATATTCATTATAACATAATTTCCTGTTTAAACACCAAATATTTTATTTAATATAGAATCCATAATTTTATTTATCCGATCAATACCTAATTTTTATAAAAATTTGCTTACAATAAAAGTTTAAAAATCTTTAATTTATATTATAGTAGTAATAATATTACTACAAAACTAACAACCCTATATTTTAATACTGACGTAAAGAAATCGCAGGTTTGTTGCACGTTTAGCTTTCCTTTTTTCCACCCTTATCACATTTTTAAACAAGCTGAGGTTCAAATGTGTTCGGTAGGTTTTACTCGAAAGAGCGACATTCCGTACAACACACCCAAAGCTGGTTAAAGTTTGAGGTCCTATAATTCATATAAACAAATATTGTAGTTTGCTCTCACGTGTAGGACAAGCGGGTGGTGTCGGTGTTAGTGTTAGACTCATATATGTGACGGCCGCAGGTGGGGAGCTGGAGGTGCTACTGCCGCCGCTGGAGGTGTTGTTGGCGGCGCCCGAGATGGAGGCACTGGCCGACGACCCGCGCGCACTGTACCTGCTCAAGTACGGCTACCAGTGTGTGGCCGCGCAACACGACGACCAGTAGAACACACACACACACACACACACAAGTGTACACAACACGGGTTGGAGTCGTCGAACTACTTACGGAGATATTACAATTTTTAAATTCATATATTTAGGTTGACCTTCATGAGTGAGGGTTGATAGATGAATAATTGCAATGGTTGCGTGTATACTGTGACTATGTTAGTTGTGAAGCTCCCACACCCTGCCCCGGCGACACACAGGGCATGTAATATATGATTTGTTGTTATAATCCAGTTGTTCTTGTGTTCCTTAACGTTCTCACCATTCGATGTTGTTAGTTCAGACTGATTTAGATGTAAGATGTTTGAAGTCGATTTTTATACTGTGACCTGTAGAATAGTAACGAGTCCGGAGACGGATTCCCTCTCGGAACTGTATATTAATGTAAACTATGTCTTGTTAATGTATGTTGAATAAGATTATTTTTATAATACAAACGATGAGTATGAATAAATAATAAAATAAATATAAGTACTATGGAACGTTTTTCAATTTATCCCTTTTCAGTCTTTTCCAACAGTCTTTTCTATTCCAGATTTCGCTCATATGTAGTTTGTTAATATCCGTTACTGAAACATTTTGAATAAAAGATATGAAAATAAAAAAATTATCCTTTATTTAAAAGGAATCTTCAAAGGGAAATTCATTTTCTTTGGCACCATTTTCCTCCGCCATATTTGCGCGACCCCACTAACTGTCAGTTGTGTACCGTCCGCGTCTCCATACGGTCGCGTCTCTTTCCCGCCACAACATTGTTTATATAAACTCCGTCTCGTCCTAAATGTTTAGTTCTCAGTAAATTATACTTTTTGTGTGTCGAAATGATCAACGTGTGCTGATTTTTTTGGACCTCACTGTTAAATAATGTAAGTATTTTATGTCAAACGATTGATATAAGCCGCGGAAAAGAAAGAACTGTATGAATATTCATCAAAAATATTTAAAAATTAACAAATAATTGACTCTTTATGTAAACGAAGTCATGTCGATAGCCAATGATGGATAAATTAATATTTAAACTTTAAAAAATATGAATATAGGTACACCAAATATACTTTAATATGTAATGCATGTATTTAATGTAATTAATTATTTTAACGAATTATACAAGGTCAATAAAACATATTTTTTTACAACTTCCGTAGATTAATAAATTACTGTGCAAGCAAATAATATAAATAAAGATAATTTAATATTATTTTTACTAAAAAACCGGTAATTGCTACAAAAATATTAATAATTCAATGATACATATATTTATAGAATAAAATTGAGGTAATTTAACATTAATAGGCAAGCAGTTTCTTGAGGGTCTGCTTAATAAAAGAAACTACAATAGGATTTTGGCAATTACATTTAGTTTGAAGACGATATTTAATTAATCGATAAAAAATTCTGGTTTTAAATGAATTAAACTAATTACTAGCGTGCGATATTGAACGGAACTACTGTCGTTAGTTATGTTAAAAATAGTATCGTTAAAATTAATTTAATATTAAATACATACAATCGAGATGAAAAACCAAGAAATAAAATAAAATATGTAGTGTTTTTCAATATTTATTGAGATTTTTGTATCAAATATAGGCCATTTAATAAAAAAAAAAATTTATATTTTGAATGTATTTCTAAACTTCGTAGCCCTGATCTGTCTAACCATCCTTATGTCCTGAATAACATGGAAATGTTTTAAATGTATTCGCAAACCATTGTCTGCTGGTCATAGAATGTAACTTATTGTTATTTAAATTTAATTAAATACAAATTACCTAAACAAAAACACTCCTGCGTTGTGATGCAACCTTATTATAATATTCTCTAATTATTGAAAAGGGTTTGAATATGAGGCGGTTTTAGAAATATCAGTCATATTGAGATCTAAGATTTCGCGAGTACACATTTAAATGAAACTAATATTTTCGGATTTACTACGCGTTTTTTTTTTTGACTATAAAGTCTCGACATCTCGTCTGCCGTGATCACGGTTGCTATAAAGTAGCCGAAACGTCGGAGTATGTATTTTAATATAAGCCTTACTATAGCTGGCGCTCTACAGAGGTCCAGAGCTATTGTCAATATGATTGCAGTGTATATCACTATTTGTTCCTCTAGGTTCCTGTAAAGTAAGTGTTCCATCATCAATAATTCTCCAACGCGTCCTGTCCACGATGACTAACACATTCGCGTGACGGAGATGTCGCCAGCTGTGCAATTAGCAATTACGTAAATTGCACTCACTGGACTCACCCTCGGACACTCATACACTTACAGAATCCTTACCTTATAACTGTAATGTGATTTAATACTATGTCTATTACTCTTCACGAAGTCCGTAAGAGAGAAGGGAGAATCGGTAGAGTTACTAGCGATGCATATATGTATGAATTGTCAGTAATTAAAAGTACCTACTTATAATAATATACATAAAAACCTTATAATGGATTGGAAAATAAATTTGGAAAAATATTATAAACGTTATATGTTATTGATATAGAACTGAAAATTACGATGCAATTTTTCAAAACAGGTCGTTCGTCGCGAAAGTCGCTTTTATACTTAATACATATATAAAAAGATATGTGATAGAGACTTAGAAATTGTGTTGCTTAAATGTAAGATTGAGACCGACTATGGGCAACACTGCTTAAATAATATAAGTATTTGAAAACAATATCGCATGAAATCATTCTGTTTGACCACTAAATATCTTTAATTCTAAGTTATCAAATCATATTAGATATAGAATTACCTTATTATATATCAAATGTGTGTTTTGTTTTAATTTTTATTGTCAAATGTTTCGTCAGTACATTTCTATCGCGTCCCTTTCCCCGTCCATTGTGTGTTAATGAAGTAATGTTGTCACCTTACCTCTCATATGTAACACACGTTACATTCACATAACTACACTATGTATATACAATATCTGTAATTGATACACATTACATTGTAATATATGTATTTTCTTAGTTTGTTTCATAGAGGAAAAACAAATTGAGCAAGAATAACGAAATACAGAGCAAAATAACTTCAAGTTTATTTACATCAAGCGTTTACACGCTGACTTACTCTGTCTAGGTTGTAATGGAAATATATTGTACCAACAGATGCACGTCCTTTGAAAACATCCGTCAAACATTTGGTTATAAAAGAACAGAATTACTAAAACCTGGTAGATGTTTAAAGTGTCGTTACAGTAAAGAGGATTTCCTCCTTTGTCTTGAAATCATGAATTCCTCGCACTTCTTATCTGTAATTTACTCAATTCATTACAAACACGACTCCGGACTCCTGGCTTAGAAGTGTTCATGATGATTATTAACCTTGCTTATATATGAAACACACGTCTAAAACACTTAAGTTTATAAAATATTTAAATAACTTATTATATTTGCTTAACTTTATCCATATACTAAGTCAATTTACAAATAATGTTTCATGGACTGTTTACTAAATATAATCTCCCCCGGATGAACAGCGGATATTAATTAATAAATATTAGGGTATAGGTAAACATAATAAATGAGACAGGTCAGGAAACGTAGCTTGTAAAGTAACCAAGAAAATAACATGTTAGTAAGTCGATGAAGGCTTAAACGAAGGCTGGTGGCTAACATTTCTATGTAGAGTCATTGGAACTTGGACGTAACCATGGCTACGGAACATAAACATTATAATTTTCCTTATTAGTCGCTTCTAAAGTAATACCTATATTTAAAGGTAGCATGTTTGTGTGTATGTCTGTGTGGTAGGTCGTCCAGTAAGTGATGATGGTGCCACAGAGTACGGAGAAGTTAATCAATTGTTTTAAGTGGTCTTTATTTGAGTGTTAATTGTCGCCGTCTCTATAACGCTGGTCACTAGCGAGGATTACTATGACGTCATAGTACTATACTACATCTATACAATAAAAGTTTGATTCTGTAGATGAAAAACTGTTAACAACAGTTGGTATGTCCGTCTTGTTGTTCGAGTACCTATTGTTGTTTTCAGAGCGATTGGAAATCACTTTGTCGTCACTGATATTAAAGAAATTATTTGTTTATATTTTAAACTAGTTTTTGCCCGCGACTTCGTCCGCGTTAGTTTCGTCATTAGTAATATATGTATAGCTGACCGGGCGAACTCTATTCTGTTTTAGAGGCCATTAATAATCAGGTTTCTCCTGTTTCAATCGAACAGAATGATTGACATATTAGTTAGTTGTCAAATATAATGTCAAAGAAAACGTTTGTATGGGAAATAGAAAAGGGCTGTTTTTAGGGTTTTCCCAGTAATGAATCAATTTTTTTCAGCTTTTATACCTTCCCTGAACCTCCACGAACATTTCAAGACTAAGACAAGATAAATCCGTTCAGCTGTTCTCGAGTTTTAGCGAGACTAAGGAACAGTAATCCATTTTTATATATGTATATAGAAGATAACATCAATATAAACTCAATGTTTATTAATTATACAATCAATAAAAAACTTCAATTAGTGTCGAAGAATAATAAAGTTTCTGTAATTGCATTAAAACCTGACTGGTTAATGAGTTTTATATATTTTAAATAGAATTACAGTTCCGATGGATAGTGCTCCCTTCTCTGATATAAAAAATCTTGTTTGTAAATCATTTTGATTTGTTACCTAAAAGGGGTTTAGAAAATAAGGTTTAACCAGAATATGTTAATATACTGATACTCAGGTTAAAATGTGAACCCGCTCTTACACCTTATTCGGGTTAAGGTATATTTTCCACTTCAGTAGTGTATGCGAGTACTCTCTGTTAGTAATCCAATGCTTTATTATATCACAGTTCATCATTGATGTCCACCGGACAGGGCGTGCTCTGAATGAGGCATTATACCTCCCGGCAGAACAGAACACACACACACACACACACACACATACACAGACACACACACACACACACAGACACACACACGCACAGACAGACACACTTGTACCCATTACATATTGAAAAACATGGGAATACATCATTAAGATATTAAG